CAGGTTTGTGTACCTAGAGCTGTAGGCAGCTGACCTGCCAGCAGGTTTGTGTACCTACAGCTCTAGGTAGCTGACCTGCCCGCAGGTTTGTGTACCTACAGCTCTAGGTAGCTGACCTGCCCGCAGGTTTGTGTACCTACAGCTCTAGGTAGCTGACCTGCCAGCAGGTTTGTGTACCTACAGCTCTAGGTAGCTGACCTGCCAGCAGGTTTGTGTACCTACAGCTCTAGGTAGCTGACCTGCCAGCAGGTTTGGGTACCTACAGCTCTAGGTAGCTGACCTGCCAGCAGGTTTGGGTAGCTGACCTGCCAGCAGGTTTGGGTAGTACCTGCCACAGGTTTGGGTACTTTGGTACAGCTCTAGGTAGCTGACCTGCCAGCAGGTTTGTGTACCTACAGCTCTAGGTAGCTGACCTGCCCGCAGGTTTGTGTACCTACAGCTCTAGGTAGCTGACCTGCCCGCAGGTTTGGGTACCTACAGCTCTAGGTAGCTGACCTGCCAGCAGGTTTGGGTACCTACAGCTCTAGGTAGCTGACCTGCCAGCAGGTTTGGGTAGCTGACCTGCCAGCAGGTTTGGGTACCTACAGCTCTAGGTAGCTGACCTGCCCGCAGGTTTGTGTACCTACAGCTCTAGGTAGCTGACCTGCCAGCAGGTTTGGGTACCTACAGCTCTAGGTAGCTGACCTGCCAGCAGGTTTGGGAGTTAGTGGACTGTTTACAGTTCTTTCCCCTCAGTCTGTGTTTGGCTGTAACATGTAGATTGATTTTTAAAAAATCACTACCAGGAGACTTGGTCATAAACAAATTGGGGGGGGGTTAATTCCTAAACGAGCCTCGCGTTTAACGTCACATCTGTTAAGAGTCAAGGTGTTAACAGCAACTCACCTGTGACTTGTCGCTGTAACTGACTCTGAGCATGCTTCGACAATCAAAACTGGCGTCCTACAGTAGAGTGGCGTCAAAGACAAACTCCACACAAGTATATAGATTCAATGGGGGGGGGGGGGAGAACAAGTGCAAAACAGCTCATCTCCCCCACCCCTCTGTCCCGGCTTGTCTCGCACGCAAGATGCAAACACACAAGGGACATGAAACGGTCATTGTAGCAAATCATGTCCAGTGGCGCCCAGGGTGTCCTTGACATCCCGTGTCCATTGTCATTTTGGTCGTCCCCTGCCTCTTTCATGGAGCAAACTTTCTGTGACCCTTATCTCGGTTACTTTCGTTCTCATCACTCGCTGGTTTTCATGACATTTAGAGATAACAAAAAGACAACACAAAATCATTTGACAACAAATGTTAAACTAAGTTTTTAAAAAAGGCAACAGACTTCAGGCATATAGGGCAAGACCTATATTCTACAGACTATTTGGTACTGGGTGGATGATGTGGTCAGCATCACGCCGGCGTGACTTCAAAAACTATCCTGGGATTTCGCCAATGTTGGCTTTATCCAGAAGCTGTGCGGCTAATTCTGGGGTGTACTAAGGATACCCCAGCTGCGATATATACTAGCACTGTTTACTACCTCAGATAGGCTCACAGTTCTGCAAGTCAAATCTCAGAGTAGCTGCAGACAAGAAGCACCTCCTGCAATGAAGCCATATGTAGAGCTAAGGGCCACAGACTAAAAATTGGAAGGTCTTGGATGGCGCAAGCTGAAGACACAATTCGACATGTGTGCAGACTTGATAAATGTAAGCGAGGAGAGGAGTGGGTCAAAGTGTCCGAGTAAGTTTCACACTTGCGAAGGGTTCTAATCAATTTGGGTCGTGAGTGCAGGAACATGCCACCTGGTGCTGCAGAATCTGAAGTTCAACAAATGATTCATGACGATTTTCGCTCAGGTGATTTGATTATCTATCTATACTGACGAAATGCATGGTGGTTCATAGCAAAAGCGAAAAGACGTCGTTTAGTGCAACAAAGCCTAGGGTATGATATCACAACGTCTAGTTTGAAAATAGAAGTGGAGGCAGTCACTGCTGCCTTCTGCTTGATTGAGAATAAGACGTAGATACATTTCGCAATTGCAACTGACTCCCAGATCGAGCAGAGTGGTGAGCAAATCTCTTTAGAGGTCCCAAGTAGTTAGCATCCTTTGGATATGTTGTTCTGGTGTATTGGAAAAGGAGCAGGCAGATAGACTGGCCAGTTCTACACTGATGTTTGACAAGCTAGATGTAAGGGGTTTGGGAGCTAGTGAACATTGTCTGAGGCACAAATAAATCACGACTGACTGAGGAAAGTGGCGCACGGGAAGTTACCAGGGGATCTGACCGACGCTCAAGGAAAAGGCGAAACAGAAATACAATCAGGCAGTAAGTGGTATCATCGAAAGTGGAATTCTTTACTTGCAGATTGGGACGGAACGCACATGGGAGTGTCCCAAGGGATACGATGTCGTTCATAATTCAACGTTTGTATTGATGATCTTTGTACGCTGGGGCCTGTGGTGATCCTCATTTTCAACATTTTTGGCCCCAGAACTTAGTGGAATTAGCTCTAGGTTTACCACCTCAGGGATGAGAATCAAACAGGAATACCGTATTACCTCATAAAACAGTTCTATCGCAGCAGCGGATGGTGACGTCATCCGTAGTATGGTCTGGGCAAGACCTTAGATGAAGACGGCCTTGGTCTGGGCTGGAAGACAGAAATATCACTCACATAAATAAATGTCACCCACAGGATTACCGGCACTGCTGCAATGTGAGCCCGGTGTTGTACACAACACTGTGGTGCCCTCACCGAACACGTTTCGGCATTATTATTTTAGCTTTGCAGTGCACTTATTTCTTTTCTAATATTGTTCTGTGTTGTTTAGAAAGACAAGGCACAGTTCAGGCGAAATCGGATGTGGCGAATTTCTGTTATGTAGAACCATTTTGTTTATCCCCCAGCAATTTTCATTCTTATCTGGATACGAGGGATTTATGATAAGAAGAACCATTATTGTGTCCCCGGTAAGCTTTCCATATCAAGTGAGACTGCAGTTATTTTGTTAAATGGCGACTTAGGAGTTCAGCCAACAAAATCTTGCAACTCGTTGAGTACAGCAGTAGTGATAATGATCCATTCAATGTGTCTATTACTAAAATTCAAGTTCAGAAGAAACAAAAATAAATAAATATTTTGATGCTTCGACATGTGCAATACAAACTAAAAAGAGAAATTAAAACTGTTTTAAGTATTTTAACAATGACCTATAAGGCCCGAGTTCACTGTAGCACCGGGCATTATACTGTGTCACGACATGTATAGCACTCAGAAATGGTGTCAAATGAGGCCATGGAACCTTCCAACACGCTTCTTCTGTCGCTGAGGAGTTGGTCAAGCCTCGCATCTTAGATGCCGTACAAAATAATTGTAGGTCCTCACACCACCAACATCCTTGTGTGGGTTCCAGGGCCCTATTATAGGGACAACAAGAACAGGTCATCTGCCTACCCAAAAGCATGTCTTAAGAGTCGACTAATTAGGAGCTTCATTCGAAGTGCATGTGCCTGAGAGGCAAGGAACCAAGTCGGATCTGTCAAATGGATACACACGCAACACCCAGGTTCTGAAACAGGACTGCAGTAGACGAACAACAAGAACTTTCCGTCAGAGTTTACAGCCGGCGAACACAGAGAAAAAAAAAGAAACCACTAACAAATTGGAGGCTATAGTGCTTTCAGACACCCCATACAGAGACTTTATGCTACCACCAAAATTCAAAAACCAAGATGTAAAAAGGATAAAGAGATTGACATGTTTTGTTATTCAACATGATGAATCGGCTGACATGAGAAACTACGCCATCCATCTTTCCTTCACTAGGTATTGTGAAGATGAAGACCTCAGGGAAGAACTTATTTGTCGCCCTGAGGCACCACTATTTCACAGATATGTATCTTGGTAGATATTTTCAATCGCAAGGCTTCGACTGAAGCAAATGTGTCTGTGTTAGGGCATACGACTGGACATCGCTCAATAGTAGTAGTTAAACAATTCAATTGGTCGCACGCCTACATGTTTTGTCCATTCAGTCTGACATATTCAATTTCTTTATCAACTGTTATTTGCGGGTGACTTTTCTGCCTGTGGATATTGTTTCACTCTAGACAAAATAAAATCGGGCAAAAGATTTAGATATCACCCATAAAAGAATATCCACCTGTGGATCATAGAGCTTTCACACTGTTGGTCATTTTTTCGACCTTGTGAAAAGACTTGCCCAGCCATGTCAGAACAAAAAAAAAAAAGAAACGGAATGGATGTCAATTAGGGACCATAACCATTACTTCGACCATCAAAAACAATCTGGACACCCCCTTTAGATTTCTAAACAGAAGCAAATGTTGCTGCTTCTCCTTTTCCACCTCAGCGAAAAAGGGCACTATTAAGACTGATGTAAACGGTTAAAAACCATAAGTGCTCTGCCACCAGTATGGACAGCTGGTAAGAAATTGCCCGCACGTTACTCTGTAGCTACAGATACGTTCCTCCATTTACCATAGAGGGTTAACTTTGGTACCCACTTCCTAGAAGCTGGGTGAACCCAGGGAACCGCCCGATTTTGAACACCGACCGTGGGCTGCTAAGCCTACTTTGGTTTATGTGCACATACGTTTTACAGATCTAGCATATATGTATAGACTTGGCTCCTCGAGGAAACATTGCTATTTAGTTTTGGTAGGCAATCAGTGAGTGGATCATGTCGGTCGGACGTATCAAACATTGCAACCCACTAGTTTTGGTAGGGAAGCAGGGAATGCCTCATGTCGGTCGGACGTATCAAACATTGCAACTGGTCTTGTTACAGCATACACCTAAGAAAACCAAAACTGTCTATTTTGGCATTTAATCATTGAAAGGCTAAAGCATCCATTTCATTGCACTAGGTTTGATTCAATACAGCCTGGTCTCTACAGCACAAATGACAAGCCGACAAAGAAGCACACAACAATCAACTAATCTTAGAAGTTTTTATTTATTTCATCTGCGAAGGATCCACTTTATTTACCAGGTAGGATGATGCCGTCATACTGAAACACAAACAGCAACATACACATTAGCCATAAAACTGAAAACACAAACAGCAACATACACATTAGCCACCATACTGAAACACAAACATCCACATTAGCCATCATACTGAAAATGTGACACAGTCGTGTCTTCACATCCCCCAAGAAATAGATGTGCCTAATTCGGACATAGTGTGTTATGGATATAGTTAGTAGCTCTCTTGAATCGTACTCAAGAACAAGGCCAGTGGTGTAACAATTACACAGCAGTTTATTTATTAACAATATTATCAAGTCAAACAGAATGCATCATTTCAATAACCAATAGTATAGGAACACTTCATTATCTTATTACTGGCTATTCGTATGTCTCTCTATGAGTTCCTTAATCACTCTCTTAGCCAAACTCCAAGTTTAATATATAGCTTCTAAACGAAGTATAGCCCTAGTTTTCCCAACTGGTCTCTCAAGCGGTCCAGTCCTAACTTCTCTCAAGCGGTGCCCTTCTTTCTCGCGTGCGTTCTCAATCACTCCCTGTCATCTGTCTCCGGTGGTCACGTTTGGATAAACGTATCTTCAGTTGGACACGTGCATCGCGTTGCTCACCTCCCTCTGTATCGTATGTTTCCATCCTTCACTGTCAGATGTCATGGTTTTACCATGATAACCACACTCAATTCAACTCTGGTCATCGTGCAGATGTTCTGTATCGCTGGCCAGGCCAGCTTTCTAATCACCCATTTCTGTCATGTCACACAGTGATGGATTAGTATGCCTTGTTGGTGGTCTGAAATGTATGCTTTGTTCATTTAACTCCTTTCTGCCTATATTTCATTACAAAAACACAAACATCCACATTAGCCATTATACTGAAACACAAACATCCACATTAGCCATCATACTGAAACAACTTGAAACATTTTCTGGTACCCATTTTAGGTTGGATTGACTTGAAAGTTTAATTAAAATAAAGTGATTGCAAATCTCAACCCATGATTGGGCAGGAGACAACAATTTACAGAAGTTCACGCCTCAAACTAACCTCTGACCTGTCAAACCATGTAGCAATGTCAAGGCTGCTTGCTACCAACCCCATGTGTAGAGACAGTGTGTAGTGCACATTACACTGGAATTGTAAGAATCAACACACTACTGTGCCCTAACACACATCACGCTGGTATATGCTACTCCGCACCAAAGGTCTCAACAAGACACACATAAGAACATACACCTAACGGAGTATTACTGCAGCGGCCGTGTATCACAGCAATGCCTTTGCTAGTATTTATTTATGGGTAGATGCTTAAGGATAGGCATGCCAGTCAGAGAATGTCAGAAGATTGTGCCACAATTTGACAGTTTATACTGTCCCGCTCCCTCAGCACACAGAAACTAGCTGTCCCCATGAGACCCACCCCTATATCTGCAGGCTCCTGCCTGTCAATGTCAAGTGGGTAATGACAGACATCCATCCAGACAGATCTATGTGTGGATGATTAGGGATAGGTATGCCATTATCATACGACAACATGTTCAGAATATGTGACAAGTTCAAGCCCACATGTGAGAGTATTTGAAACAAAATACACTGAAACAGGCAGGTGATTTCTAAGGTTACCTTTTGCTGAAACCACTTGATGGATTCCTCTTTCGAGATTCTGTGTTTGGCTCCAATCGAACTCTGTCTGCGCCTGCGCTGACTGATGTTGAATCCTGATAAAAACACAAATAAGATTGATTAAATATATTAGGCAGGTATAGACCACCAGAATTCATACAGCATAAACTCTTACAGCACCTCAGAACTCCCAACACTGTCATGTGAGAAGTCCCAACACTGTCATGTGAGTGGTCCCAATACTGCCATATGAGAAGTCCCAACACTGTCATGTGAGTGGTCCCAACACTGTCATGTGAGTGGTCCCAACACTGCCATATGAGAAGTCCCAACACTGTCCTCTCAGAACACCCAACACTGTCATGTGAGTGGTCCCAACACTGTCATGTGAGTGGTCCCAACACTGCCATATGAGAAGTCCCAACACTGTCATGTGAGAAGTCCCAACACTGTCATGTGAGTGGTCCCAACACTGCCATATAAGAAGTCCCAACACTGTCATGTGAGAAGTCCCAACACTGTCATGTGAGTGGTCCCAACACTGTCATGTGAGTGGTCCCAACACTGCCATATGAGAAGTCCCAACACTGCCATATGAGAAGTCCCAACACTGTCATGTGAGTGGTCCCAACACTGCCATATGAGAAGTCCCAACACTGTCCTCTCAGAACACCCAACACTGTCATGTGAGTGGTCCCAACACTGCCATATGAGAAGTCCCAACACTGACACAGCAGACAGCCCCAAACTGGCTCTCTCCAGGATCATGTGAGGTATGTCAGTGCCTGATCTGATGTTAACTTCATCACAAGTATTGAGATGTTAATGTGCCTGACCTCATGTATAGTTCATGAAAAGTATTAATGTGTCACTGATAACAATAGTTTGAGATGCAATGTTGAAAGAGAAGCTGAACACAGACTTGCACCAGCAGCTCTAGTAGAAGTTCTGTGAAGGTCTCTGTGCTGCCACCTACAAGCAGCGCATGGTTCAACTGTATCACAAGTCATGGCAACTAGCACAGACACAACTCCAACCTTCTGCTGCTAAAACACTAGCACAGAGAACAATCTTCTGCTGCTAAAACTCTAGCACAGAGAACTCCAACCTTCTGCTGCTAAAACTCTAGCACAGAGAACAATCTTCTGCTGCTAAAACTCTAGCACAGAGAACTGCAACCCTCTGCTGCTAAAACACTAGCACAGAGAACTACAACCTTCTGCTGCTAAAACTCTAGCACAGAGAACTACAACCTTCTGCTGCTAAAACTCTAGCACAGAGAACAACCTTCTGCTGCTAAAACTGTAGCACAGAGAACAACCTTCTGCTGCTAAAACTCTAGCACAGAGAACTGCAACCTTCTGCTGCTAAAACTCTAGCACAGAGAACTGCAACCTTCTGCTGCTAAAACACTAGCACAGAGAACAACCTTCTGCTGCTAAAACACTAGAACTGCAACCCTCTGCTGCTAAAACTCTAGCACAGAGAACAACCCTCTGCTGCTAAAACACTAGCACAGAGAACTGCAACCCTCTGCTGCTAAAACTCTAGCACAGAGAACAACCCTCTGCTGCTAAAACACTAGCACAGAGAACAACCTTCTGCTGCTAAAACACTAGCACAGAGAACAACCTTCTGCTGCTAAAACACTAGCACAGAGAACAACCTTCTGCTGCTAAAACACTAGCACAGAGAACAACCCTCTGCTGCTAAAACACTAGCACAGAGAACTACAACCTTCTGCTGCTAAAACACTAGCACAGAGAACTGCAACCTTCTGCTGCTAAAACTCTAGCACAGAGAACAACCTTCTGCTGCTAAAACACTAGCACAGAGAACAACCTTCTGCTGCTAAAACTCTAGCACAGAGAACAACCTCCTGCTGCTAAAACACTAGCACAGAGAACAACCTTCTGCTGCTAAAACACTAGCACAGAGAACTGCAACCCTCTGCTGCTAAAACTCTAGCACAGAGAACAACCTTCTGCTGCTAAAACTCTAGCACAGAGAACAACCTTCTGCTGCTAAAACTCTAGCACAGAGAACAACCTTCTGCTGCTAAAACACTAGCACAGAGAACAACCTTCTGCTGCTAAAACTCTAGCACAGAGAACAACCTTCTGCTGCTAAAACTCTAGCACAGAGAACAATCTTCTGCTGCTAAAACACTAGCACAGAGAACTGCAACCCTCTGCTGCTAAAACTCTAGCACAGAGAACAACCCTCTGCTGCTAAAACACTAGCACAGAGAACAATCTTCTGCTGCTAAAACACTAGCACAGAGAACTGCAACCCTCTGCTGCTAAAACTCTAGCACAGAGAACAACCCTCTGCTGCTAAAACACTAGCACAGAGAACAACCTTCTGCTGCTAAAACACTAGCACAGAGAACAACCTTCTGCTGCTAAAACACTAGCACAGAGAACAACCTTCTGCTGCTAAAACACTAGCACAGAGAACAACCTTCTGCTGCTAAAACTCTAGCACAGAGAACAACCCTCTGCTGCTAAAACACTAGCACAGAGAACAACCCTCTGCTGCTAAAACACTAGCACAGAGAACAACCTTCTGCTGCTAAAACACTAGCACAGAGAACAACCTTCTGCTGCTAAAACACTAGCACAGAGAACAACCTTCTGCTGCTAAAACTCTAGCACAGAGAACTACAACCTTCTGCTGCTAAAACACTAGCACAGAGAACTACAACCTTCTGCTGCTAAAACACTAGCACAGAGAACTACAACCTTCTGCTGCTAAAACACTAGCACAGAGAACTACAACCTTCTGCTGCTAAAACACTAGCACAGAGAACTGCAACCCTCTGCTGCTAAAACACTAGCACAGAGAACAACCTTCTGCTGCTAAAACACTAGCACAGAGAACTCCAACCTTCTGCTGCTAAAACACTAGCACAGACACAAAGAATGGAAGAGAGTGGAAGATGTTACCTGGCCTGCCTAGAACAACGTAGAAGTCCATGCCGTAGATGCCAATGCTGGGGTCGTACTTGATGCCCAGGTCAATGTGCTCCTGGATCCCGAAGCCAAAGTTGCCAGTGGCAGAGAAGTTGTTCTTCTTCAGCTCATACTCTCGCACCTGTGAGACAGTCTAGAGGTCAGCTCTGGGCACACAACAACCCAACACAATGAACCACCACTGTATCCCAACACAGCTGACACAACCAGCAACCCCCTACCCAGCTGACACAACCAGCAACCCCCTACCTAGCTGACACAACCAGCAACCCCCTACCCAGCTGACACAACCAGCAACCCCCTACCCAGCTGACACAACCAGCAACCCCCTACCTAACTGACACAACCAGCAACCCCCTACCTAACTGACACAACCAGCAACCCCCTACCTAACTGACACAACCAGCAACCCCCTACCTAGCTGACACAACCAGCAACCCCCTACCTAACTGACACAACCAGCAACCCCCTACCCAGCTGACACAACCAGCAACCCCCTACCCAACTGACACAACCAGCAACCCCCTACCCAACTGACACAACCAGCAACCCCCTACCTAACTGACACAACCAGCAACCCCCTACCTAACTGACACAACCAGCAACCCCCTACCTAACTGACACAACCAGCAACCCCCTACCCAGCTGACACAACCAGCAACCCCCTACCTAACTGACAACCAGCAACCCCCTACCTAGCTGACACAACCAGCAACCCCCTACCCAGCTGACACAACCAGCAACCCCCTACCTAACTGACAACCAGCAACCCCCTACCTAACTGACACAACCAGCAACCCCTACCCAGCTGACACAACCAGCAACCCCCTACCCAGCTGACACAACCAGCAACCCCCTACCCAGCTGACAAAATACTCTAAACCACTAAACAATCAAAAACTAGCCCACCCTGCCAAAAATAACAGGCTACAGAATGTATTAAGGCTAGTGTATTACAAGCACCCACCCGCAAACTTTCAAGAAACAGATTCAGCTCCGAGGACAGTGACAATTCTGTAGCCTGTGTGTCCTCTCTGCCCATGAACCCACCACCCGACAATTTCAACAGAAACACAATCATTCAGTTTCTAGGACATGAGCTGGTTCTCATCGACATTCACAACTTGTATTATGGCAGCAACATTTTTTTTTTAAAATCTCTCAAGCCACAGCATTCCAGTTTTCTAAAATATTTCAATAAAACTACCCCCTGCAGTGATTGTAACATGTGCCATGAACTACATGTTGCCTGGCCAGATCAAACATACATGCATACATTCATTCACTCTTCTGGTTATATCCACAACAGACGGGAAGGGAGGGCGTTCCAGTTTGACAACAGAAAGAAAGTTCAGAACAACACAAGCACAGACTGGCTAGGATGATCAATTGTTGCCTGTATTCAGCAACAAAGCTGACCAGGACTGGGGTCATCACATGTTGCAGACAGGAGGTGCCACTCTAGCACAGCTGCAGACAGGAGGTGCCACTCTAGCACAGCTGCAGACAGGAGGTGCCACTCTAGCACAGCTGCAGACAGGAGGTGCCACTCTAGCACAGTTACAACACATGTTGCAGACAGGAGATGTCACTCTAGCACAGCTGCAGACAGGAGGTGTCACTCTAGCACAGCTGCAGACAGGAGGTGTCACTCTAGCACAGCTGCAGACAGGAGGTGTCACTCTAGCACAGCTGCAGACAGGAGGTGTCACTCTAGCACAACTGCAGTCAGGAGGTGTCACTCTAGCACAGCTACAACACATGTTGCAGACAGGAGATGTCACTCTAGCACAGTTGCAGACAGGAGATGTCACTCTAGCACAGCTGCAGACAGGAGGTGTCACTCTAGCACAGCTGCAGACAGGAGGTGTCACTCTAGCACAGCTGCAGACAGGAGGTGTCACTCTAGCACAGCTGCAGACAGGAGGTGTCACTCTAGCACAGCTGCAGACAGGAGGTGTCACTCTAGCACAGCTGCAGACAGGAGGTGTCACTCTAGCACAGCTGCAGACAGGAGGTGTCACTCTAGCACAGCTGCAGACAGGAGGTGTCACTCTAGCACAGCTACAGCACATGTTGCAGACAGGAGGTATCACTAGCACAGCTACAGCACATGTTGCAGACAGGAAGTGTCACTCTAGCACAGCTGCAGACAGGAGGTATCACTAGCACAGCTGCAGCACATGTTGCAGACAGGAGGTGTCACTCTAGCACAGCTGCAGCACATGTTGCAGACAGGAGGTATCACTCTAGCACAGCTGCAGACAGGAGGTGTCACTCTAGCACATGTTGCAGACAGGAAGTGTCACTCTAGCACATGTTGCAGACAGGAAGTGTCACTCTAGCACAGCTGCAATCTCAGACCGTGGAACATGGGATCAATGTCCATGCCTGATGTTCACACAAACACCAAAGAGAGAATACACACACAAATTAATGTCAGAATTTGTCTACACACTACAAGAATTACCTTTCTGTAAACAAACCAAGCACTTTAAAAATATACACAATGATGGTAAATAGCCACGCAGAAAAGATGACTGATCGAGGAGGCAACAGAAATAGCCAGCACCACAAGGAGATCTCGTATAGGATGCTCAAAGGTTTAACTAGGGAAATAACTACAGCCACCATGGAACACACATCCATAACCAGATAAGCTGATAGACAATGGAATGCACACACACAACAGGATAGTGGTGGACAATGGAGACAAACAAAACACAGTCTAGCAGTACCCGATGGAGACTGTCTCCAGTGCCCAGTAACAGAACTGACCATGCCGTACTCAGGATGCTGAAGTTAGCAAGTGGCTGGAAGCAGCAGATCAATCAGTAAAGCCTGTGCCCCACACTGACGTTACAAACACTGGTCCTCACCAGCCACAGCAGCAGGCTGAAAGCAGCAGATGAGGCACAGAAATCAATCCAGCTCATGTTACAACATTACAATCTCATCACAAAAAAGCATCCACACACACACACAACATTCATTGCACTGGCTAGAGACAACAGTCTTGACAACCACAACTGATCAGGATGAGGTTAGGCCGTGTTGCAGACAGGATATTTCACACTAGCACAGCTGAAATCTTGTCAGACGTTGAAACATTAGATCAAAGTCCGTGCCAGATGTGCTGGAGACAGCAGGCATGTGCCCAGGCTCCATTCGGCACTAAACATTTGCAAGGGAGTGACAGCACTAAACTCCACATCTGTAGATGTGACAGAACCAACCTTCAAACCCTTCTCCAGAATCTCCTCAGCCTTGGCACCTCGGACAGTACAGTGAACAGCAATCTTCTCGTTACGACGGATTCCAAAGGACCTGACAGTGTAGCGGGCTGCCACAAACAGAACACATTCAGTTAAACAACTGCTGCAAAAGGCAGAGATATCTAGACTATACACCAGTTTTATAAGGCAAACCATACAGACAGTTAATATATTAAAAGTCGTTTTATAAATACATCCAAAGGGCAATTCTGGGATTTTAAGAACCAGCAAGACATTCAGTTCTTTATTATTATCCTACCCCAGATGATGTCACAGGACGGTCCAACATTTTAGAGGATGGTAAGACTAGGTTACCCGGCTTTAACAATCCCAAAACATCTAAAACTGGCCCTAACCGCAAAACATCTATGTCCCACGAGAAAGTGCAGCCTAGGCCCTACAACTGCATGCAGCCTACCACCCCCTGAAATTGACTATCTTGGATTTCCCTTGTTTGGGTCAGGATATATAGCACCAGAAAGTCTTTCAAAAAGAGTTACCATTGCCTGCTAAAGAGAACTGAATGCATGCAATGAAACTGCGTAAAAAAAAAAAAAAAAAATATGGGTTTTAAAGAACTTTTAGGATTATTACATAAAGGTCAAACACAATATGGCAAGTATACTGTAAATGCTGTCATGGAATGCATATAGAAATATATTCCGCTCGAGACAATTGTTTCAATTTTAACCGATGGGACAGTAGCCAGAGAAAAAAAACGAGACACTTGTTTACCATTGCATCATTCATCAAGAAGTGCTTTGTAAGCAGGCAATTCCAGAAGAAATTTGCAATTTTATGAACTGATCAAAAAAATTAAACAATTGTAGCTAGAGCTACAGAATTTTGAGATGAAATGGGCAGTAAATAAGCTGCTCTTCCGCTTCACAATAAGGTGTGTTGGCTTTCAAGTGGAAATCATTTTTACTTAAATTTTTAAAAATGGCTATACTCCAATAAAGGGGCACAAAAGATGGCGACCGCAAAAAACAGAGCCTCAGCCACGTGTCAATTGCGCACTTCTGGCGACTAACGCCATCGCCGAGAGTATCCCCCACGCCGCTGGATTGGGGCTAAACTAGATGGCTGGGACTCACGATATATAGCACCAGAAAGTCTTCTCCTGCAGCTTTGTTCTGCTAAAAGAGCCATCTAGTTTAGCCCCAACCCACGCCGCTCAGGGATACTCTCAGCGAAAAAAAAAAAAAAAGCAAATTACTAGGGTTTTTTGTGCCCTTGTAGGATTCGGAGGATAAAGGTCAAAAAAAATATTTCAAGTCAAATGTAAATGCTATCATGTTAATGCATATAGAAATATATTAATCGCTCGAGACAATTGTTCCAAACAATTTTTTCGATCTTGGAGCCAGAGAAAAATAACGAGACACTTGTTTACCATTGCATCATTTATCAAAGAAGTGCTTGATAAGCAGGCAATTCCAGAAGAAAATTCGCAATTTTATGAACTGATCAAAAAAAAAACAATTGTAGCTATGAGCTAAAGAATTTCCAGATAGGTTTTAGGCATTAAGAAATAGCACAGCTCTTAGCCTTTGTTACAAAACTAGGTGTGTTGGCTTTCAAGTGGAAACACTTTAAAATGATTTGCTTCCTAATTATTAGAAACTAAATCCTTTTTACTTAGAAAGAGTGTTGACTATCCTGAACAGTGGATCGAATTTAAATTTTAAAAAATGGCTATACTCCAATAAAGGGGCACAAAAGATGGCGACCGCAAAAAACAGAGCCTCAGTCACGTGTCAATTGCGTACTTCTGGGGACTAACGCCATCGCCGAGAGTATCCCCCACGCTGCGTGGATTGGGGCTAAACTGGCTGGGACACACGAGCAGCAGCTTCCGCATCTCCTGCAGCTTTGCTCGTGAGAAAAGGCCATCTAGTTTAGCCCCAACCCACACCGCGCAGGGATACTTTCAGCTATGGCAGTAGCTGCCGGAAAACAGCAAATTAGGTCGCCATCTTTTGTGCCCGTTATTCGGAGGATAGCCAAAAAAATTATTTTTTTCCCGTCAAATGATTAGATGTTAAATCTAAATAATCTTAATCGTAAACTACAGGAGAAAGGAAACAATTTTTTCTGATGTTGAAAGAAGTCATTTTATTCAAGAACAAATTCTCTTTTTGCTCAAGAATATGAAAGCAAAACGTTGATTCATGACGTGAAACACCACCAAGAAAATACCTCGGTAACTAACTGACATCTGCTTTAAAAAAAAAACTGAATATGTGTTAAGCTTATCCACATAGATTTTAGGAATTAAGAAATAGCACAGCGACGTTAGCCTTTGTTACAAAACCACTCAGTGCTGATGTAACAGAATTGAATTTATCACATGTACTAAGTGTATGCACTATTGACATTGGCACTTTTTTAAAATGCAATTGATGGAATTAAAAAGAAAAAGAAACGGAGTTTGAAATTTGAACTAAGTTATAATGCAATCTGGAAAAATTAGAAATACATATGTGATCTCAGTTCACAGCAAAAGTGGTCTGCTCTTAAATGTCTGGAGGGAGAAGGAATGTGAATATCAGCACTGAGGCGGCACTGGGTCTATTAGTATTATTTGGTTTCTTACCCCAACATTATGCCCCAGAACCATGAATCATACTGACAAGACTGAATAGGACAGACTGTCGGAGTTGGTACACTCTGACGTGTGAAAAGCAGAAGATAAGGCTCTCCTCCGACCCGATATTATGGCGGCCATAAAATATCCTTACGGGGCTCAGATCTGTAAAAAAAAATATGCCGGCTCCGTTTTAACGAAACAAATGCTCTAACAGGGTCTCAGCGATATGTTACTTGCGGACCTGTTTCTGTGACCATGCCTCACCGCTGACTATATCCCCCGTGCCGCGGATGGGGGCTAAACTAGATGGCTGGGACTCACGAGCAGCAGCTACCGCTCTCCTGCAACTTCCTCCAATTAATTTACTTGTGAGTCCCAGGCCCCTGGTTAGCCTCCCATCCGTGCCGCGCGAAGCAGCGCGGGAGATACGCCAGGTGGTGAGTTTACTGCATTTTGCGCATGCTATTATCGTCTGCAGAAAATATGAACGGTCGCTATTATCGTCTGCAATGTTGCGTCTCTTGAAATTGTCAAGTAATCCTAATTTTGCCGCGATTTGTTCCTTGGCAGAAAGTCCGCATTTTACATATGCCTGAGCCCCGTAAGGATATTTTAAGGCCGCCATAATGTCGGGTTGAAGTTCGGAGGAGAGCCAGTATTTTATTTTATTTGTGACCATTTTTTTTTTTTGAAAAGACCGGTGTCTGTCCTGTCAGCTGCTCGATGACTTTAGCAGCTCTGGTCAGTCTGTCACCAGACTCCCCCACACACACGTTCACACACAGTTTGCTGATTCTGAGGTCACACATCACGTTCGCTCGAGCTTTTTCGGCGTCACCCTGAAAGAATATTCAAATTGTTACTTTTTATACATCGCTGTCTGGCTAATATTTCAGTAAATCTTGTACAAAAAGTGGCATATGTGTTTCCTTGGCTAAGCTACAAAAACGATAATCACATTAGATACATTTGATGGGTATATATGAGACAGTGTATAGCAGATTATGAAAGATTGTATCTCTTCCACAAAAGTGAGGACTTACCGACATATTTACAAACAGTATAGGTCAGGAGTTCAGCAGACAGGAAGGAAGTGATTCCTTGTAGATCTTACTTGTCGTAGTCGTAATAGTTGCAACATAGCACACAACTAAAACGTAACAGATAAATGCAACATTAATGCACATAATTAAAATACAGATAGTTAAAATATATATTAAACATAGAATTATAACAAAAACGATGAGTATGTGAACGGACCTTAACGACATCACATGACGTAGTAATGGTTGCCAAGGACAACTGTGTTAACAATAAGCGAGAACTGTTCGCAACCTGAACACACAACAAGACCCATTCAACATGAACGTCATCTTACCACCTGCGAGAGAACATTCAGGCCAGTCTCGCCAACATGGATTCCTCGGAAGAGGAGGTGGATACTGGACCTTCTATAGACTCACAGTTCATGGACGAACGGATAGCGGCCCGTCGCATTCGGATAGCCAAAAGGGCAGAGACCGCCAGAAGGTACCCTGCGATTTTGATAATTTTTTATCATCGTCAGTTTCTAATTTTGCCATTAAGCTCCATAGAAAGGAACAATTCGCAGTCCAGTTCTCAATAATTCACACATTGTGATATCTCCTTTATGCTGTGTTCATATTCTTGTTGTCAGTACATTACTTGCCTCACACATTCTCCTGCCTCGATAACCTTTCTGCACCTCCATGCTGCTCAACCCATGACTTATACACCCTCATACCCTCAGTGATCTGTCTGTACCCCATGTTGTTCAACCCTGGCCTCATACCCTCAGTGATCTGTCTGTACCCCATGTTGTTCAACCCTAGCCTCATACCCTCAGTGATCTGTCTGTACCCCATGTTGTTCAACCCTAGCCTCATACCCTCAGTGATCTGTCTGCACCACATGTTGTGCAACCATAGCCTCATACCCTCAGTGATCTGTCTGTACCCACCCTCATGTTGTCTGCACCCCATAGTTCAACCCTCATACCTCAGTGATCTGTCTGTACCCCATGTTGTTCAACCCTAGCCTCATACCCTCAGTGATCTGTCTGTACCCCATGTTGTTCAACCCTAGCCTCATACCCTCAGTGATCTGTCTGTACCCCCATGTTGTTCAACCCTAGCCTCATACCTTCAGTGATCTGTCTGTACTCCCATGTTGTGCAACCCTAGCCTCATACCCTCAGTGATCTGTCTGTACCCCATGTTGTTCAACCCTGGCCTCATACCCTCAGTGATCTGTCTGTACCCCATGTTGTGCAACCATAGCCTCATACCCTCAGTGATCTGTCTGTACCTCATGTTGTGCAACCATAGCCTCATACCCTCAGTGATCTGTCTGTACCCCATGTTGTGCAACCATAGCCTCATACCTTCAGTGATCTGTCTGTACCCCATGTTGTGCAACCATAGCCTCATACCCTCAGTGGTCTGTCTGTACCCCATGTTGTGCAACCATAGCCTCATACCCTCAGTGGCCTGTCTGTACCCCATGTTGTGCAACCATAGCCTCATACCCTCAGTGATCTGTCTGTACCTCATGTTGTGTAACCATAGCCTCATACCCTCAGTGATCTGTCTGTACCCCATGTTGTGCAACCATAGCCTCATACCCTCAGTGATCTGTCTGTACCCCCATGTTGTGCAACCATAGCCTCATACCCTCAGTGGTCTGTCTGTACCCCATGTTGTGCAACCATAGCCTCATACCCTCAGTGATCTGTCTGTACCCCATGTTGTGCAACCATAGCCTCATACCCTCAGTGATCTGTCTGTACCCCATGTTGTGCAACCCTAGCCTCATACCCTCAGTGATCTGTCTGTACCTCCATGTTGTTGAACCCTAGCTCATACCCTCAGTGATCTGTCTGTACCCCATGTTTTGCAACCCTGGCCTCATACCCTCAGTGATCTGTCTGTACCTCCATGTTGTGCAACCCTGGCCTCGTACCCCTAGTGGAAATTGTTCTACAATATAGCAATTGTTCTACAATATAGCAATTGTTCTACAGTATAGTAACTGTTCTACAATAAACAATCTGTTCTACAATATAGCAGTTGCTCTACAAAATAGCAACTGTTGTACAGTATAGCAATTGTTCTACAGTATTGCAACTGTTCTACAATAAAGAAGCTGTTCTACAGTATAGCAGTTGTTCTACAATATAACAATTGTTCTACAGTATAGTAATTGCTCTACAATATAGCAATTGTTCTACAATACAGCAATTGATCTATAGGGCAGTAATGTAGATAAAGAGGGAGGAACTGATAAAGATATTAAAATTAGAATATAAAAGGCAATAGGAGCTTTCATAGCACTAGGGAATTTGTGGAGGTCAAAAGAAATTCAAACAAATAAACTAAAACATTTTTAATTCTAATGTCAAATCAGTACTATTGTATGGGGCGGGAACATGGAAAACAACCAAGGCAATTACTAATAAATTACAGACATTCATTAACTGGTGCCTGAATAGAGGTAATTAAATGGTAGGATGGAATAACTAATGTAGAACTTTGGGAGAGAACTAAACAGGCTCCAGTGGACCAAGAGGTGAGGAAAAGACGCTGGCGTTGGATAGGACATACACCGAGAAAACAGGAGAACAGCATAACTTGAATGTCTTTGCATTGGAACCTACAAGGGTATAGGCATAAAAGAAGGCCAAAAAAACACATGGAGAAGAGAGCTGAAGAATGAAGCTAGAAAGATGGGGAGGATATGGGGAGAGCTTCATGTAATGGCGAAGGAAAGAACGGCTTGGTGTGAGTTGGTTGAGGGCCTATGCTTCACTGGGGGGATATAAAGGCAGAAGAAGAAGAATAGCAATTGCTCTATAATATAGCAATTGTTCTACAACATAGCAGTTGCTCTATAATATAGCAATTGTTCTACAACATAGCAGTTGCTCTATAATATAGCAATTGTTCTACAACATAGCAGTTGCTCTATAATGTTTATGTGTGCAGTCAGGCTATCTAGATTCCTATTTCTGTTGATGAGACGAGGGTAATTATGATTGCTATTTCTGTTGATGAGACGAGGGTAATTATGATTGCTATTTCTGTTGATGACACGAGGGTAATTATGATTGCTATTTCTGTTGATGAGACGAGGGTATTTCTGTTGATGAGACGAGGGTAATTATGATTGCTATTTCTGTTGATGAGACGAGGGTAATTATGATTGCTATTTCTGTTGATGAGACGAGGGTAATTATGATTGCTATTTCTGTTGATGAGACGAGGGTAATTATGATTGCTATTTCTGTTGATGAGACGAGGGTAATTATGATTGCTATTTCTGTTGATGAGACGAGGGTAATTATGATTGCTATTGATGCTAGGACTTTTATTGATACCCTCATGACGAAATAGTAGCACTCAAGCTATTTGCATGGCAATCAAAGCATGTTTTCTTCTTCTGTATGATATCCTATGTTTTCTTCTTCTGTATGATATCCTATGTTTTCTTCTTCTGTATGATATCCTATGTTTTCTTCTTCTGTATGATATCCTATGTTTTCTTCTTCTGTATGATATCCTATGTTTTCTTCTTCTGTATGATATCCTATGTTTTCTTCTTCTGTATGATATCCTATGTTTTCTTCTTCTGTATGATATCCTATGGGCTATTGTTAAACAAATGTTGCCTGTAGTTATTTAACCATTTTACACCCACCCCTCCTCCTGTGTTGTAGAGCTTTGAATATTTCATGTGTTGTACAAGCTTGAGTATTTGATGTATTTTACAACTTTGAATATTTCATGCGTTATCCAGCCTTGAGTATTTCATGTGTTGTAGAGCCTTGAATATTTCATGTGTTGTAGAGCCTTGAATATTTCATGTGTTGTAGAGCCTTGAATATTTCATATGTTGTAGAGCCTTGAATATTTCATGTGTTGTAGAGCCTTGAATATTTCATGTGTTGTAGAGCCTTGAATATTTCATGTGTTGTAGAGCCTTGAATATTTCATGTGTTGTAGAGCCTTGAATATTTCATGTGTTGTAGAGCCTTGAATATTTCATATGTCGTAGAGCCTTGAATATTTCATGTGTTGTAGAGCCTTGAATATTTCATGTGTTGTACAGCCTTGAATATTTCATATGTTGTACAGCTTTGAATATTTCATATGTTGTACAGCCTTTGAATATTTCATATGTTGTACAGCCTTGAATATTTCATGTGTTGTAGAGCCTTGAATATTTCATGTGTGTAGAGCTTTGTACAGCCTTGAATATTTCATATGTTTGTACAGCTTTGAATATTTCATGTGTTCTAGGGCTTGAATAGAGAGCTCCTAATGTGTTGTAGTTTGAATATTTCATGTGTTGTAGAGCTTTGAATATTTCATGTGTTGTAGAGCTTTGAATATTTCATGTGTTGTAGAGCTTTGAATATTTCATGTGTTGAGAGCTTTGAATATTCATGTGTTGTAGAGCTTTGAATATTTCATGTGTTGTAGAGCTTTGAATATGGAATGTGTTGTAGAGCTTTGAATATTTCATGTGTTGTAGAGCTTTGAATATTTCATGTGTTGTAGAGCTTTGAATATTTCATGTGTTGTAGAGCTTTGAATATTTCATGTGTTGTAGAGCTTTGAATATTTCATGTGTTGTAGAGCTTTGAATATTTGATGTATTTTACAACATTGAATATTTCATGCGTTATACAGCCTTGAGTATTTCATGTGTTGTAGAGCTTTGAATATTTCATATGTTGTACAAGCTTGAGTATTTGATGTATTTTACAACATTGAATATTTCATGCGTTATACAGCCTTGAGTATTTCATGTGTTGTAGAGCCTTGAATATTTCATATGTTGTACAGCCTTGAATATTTCATGTGTTGTAGGGCCCTGATGGGAGAAGATCCTAATGAAGTCAAGGTCATCAAAGAGGAAATTAGCAAAAGCCAGAAGCAGATTGAAGACAGCAGATTTCGGCTGACTAAGCTTCGGAGAGATGGAATGGAATTTGTATCAAATATACAGGTGGCAGGTGATGCCAGAGAAACTGCCAGACGTACTCTTGAAGATGATGCCAAGCGTCTGCGGTAAGTATAAACAGGTACAGCACTAAGTACAGTAACTCTAGACAGGTATAGCAGTATGTACAGTAAGTCTAGACAGGTATAGCACTAAGTACAGTAAGCCATGATAACTACTTCAGTGCATGCTGAGAGCAGTTTCCATCAGAATTCAAAGCCGGTGAATGCAAAAAAGAAGAAGAAGATCCAATTCATAGTAACTAACATAGCTGGTTAGTTGCATGTCTTTACAGGACAGTGCAGAACCAACCCCAGAATTTCTTTTGGTTGCTATTGTGGGTTTTTTCTTTCTAGGAAGATTAATGCTCAGTAGTTTGGCATTGCTTTCTGATTGGTCTACTCTGCATACCATTGTTGAAACTAACGCAAAACTGTCTGTTGCCAAACTTCCTGCAGCAGTGATCAAACTCTGCACCTCGGCATTACAAAGAGCATTTCTAAGCCACAAAGCCGACAAGCATAGGCTTAAATATATAATTCCTTCATGGTAACAAGCATTGGTTTAAATATACAGACTGATCCCTCCATGGTAACAAGCATAGGTTTAAATATATAATCCCTTCATGGTAACAAGCATAGGTTAAAATATACAGACTGATCCCTTTATGGTAACAAGCATAGGTTTCAAAATATAATCCCTTCATGGTAACAAGCATAGGTTTAAATATACAGACTGATCCCTTTACGGTAACAAGCATAGGTTTAAATATACAGACTGATCCCTTCATGGTAACAAGCATAGGTTAAAATATACAGACTGATCCCTTCATGGTAACAAGCATAGGCTTAAATATATAATTCCTTCATGGTAACAAGCATAGGTTTAAATATACAGACTGATCCCTTCATGGTAACAAGCATAGGCTTAAATATATAATTCCTTCATGGTAACAAGCATAGGTTTAAATATACAGACTGATCCCTTCATGGTAACAAGCATAGGTTTAAATATATAATCCCTTCATGGTAACAAGCATAGGTTTAAATATACAGACTGATCCCTTCATGGTAACAAGCATAGGTTTAAATATACAGACTGATCCCTTCATGGTAACAAGCATAGGTTTAAATATACAGACTGATCCCTTTACGGTAACAAGCATAGGCTTAAATATATAATCCCTTCATGGTAACAAGCATAGGTTTAAATATACAGACTGATCCCTCCATGGTAACAAGCATAGGTTTAAATATACAGACTGATCCCTTCATGGTAACAAGCATAGGCTTAAATATATAATCCCTTCATGGTAACAAGCATAGGTTTAAATATACAGACTGATCCCTTCATGGTAACAAGCATAGGTTTAAATATACAGACTGATCCCTTTACGGTAACAAGCATAGGCTTAAATATATAATCCCTTCATGGTAACAAGCATAGGTTTAAAAATACAGACTGATCCCTTCATGGTAACAAGCATAGGTTTAAATATACAGACTGATCCCTTTACGGTAACAAGCATAGGCTTAAATATATAATCCCTTCATGGTAACAAGCATAGGTTTAAATATACAGACTGATCCCTTCATGGTAACAAGCATAGGTTTAAATATACAGACTGATCCCTTTACGGTAACAAGCATAGGCTTAAATATATAATCCCTTCATGGTAACAAGCATAGGTTTAAATATACAGATCCCTTCATGGTAACAAGCATAGGTTTAAATATACAGATCCCTTCATGGTAACAAGCATAGGTTTAAATGTACAGACTGATCCCTTCATGATAGGTTTTAAATATATAGATTATTTTCTTCACAGTAACAAGCATAAGATCACACATAAAGACTAATTCCTTTGTAGTAACAAGCATAGGCTTACATATATAGTATGATCTGTTCAGAGTGACAAGCATAGGCATACATATATAGTATGATCTGTTCAGAGTAACAAGCATAGGCATACATATATAGTATGATCTGTTCAGAGTAACAAGCATAGGCATACATATATAGTATGGTCCGTACAGAGTAACAAGCATAGGCATACATATATAGTATGATCCGTACAGAGTAACAAGCATAGGCATACATATATAGTATGATCTGTTCAGAGTAACAAGCATAGGCATACATATATAGTATGGTGTGTACAGAGTAACAAGCATAGGCATACATATATAGTATGATCTGTTCAGAGTAACAAGCATAGGCATACATATATAGTATGGTCCGTACAGAGTAACAAGCATAGGCATACATATATAGTATGGTCCGTACAGAGTAACAAGCATAGGCATACATATATAGTATGATCCGTACAGAGTAACAAGCATAGGCATACATATATAGTATGATCTGTTCAGAGTGACAAGCATAGGCATACATACATATATAGTATGATCCGTACAGAGTAACAAGCATAGGCTTAACTATATAGTATGATCCGTACAGAGTGACAAGCATAGGCATACATATATAGTATGATCCGTACAGAGTAACAAGCATAGGCATACATATATAGTATGGTCCGTACAGAGTAACAAGCATAGGCTTAACTATATAGTATGATCCGTACAGAGTGACAAGCATAGGCATACATATATAGTATGATCCGTACAGAGTAACAAGCATAGGCATACATATATAGTATGGTCCGTACAGAGTAACAAGCATAGGCATACATATATAGTATGATCCGTACAGAGTAACAAGCATAGGCATACATATATAGTATGATCTGTTCAGAGTGACAAGCATAGGCATACATATATAGTATGATCCGTACAGAGTAACAAGCATAGGCATACATATATAGTATGATCTGTTCAGAGTAACAAGCATAGGCATACATATATAGTATGATCTGTTCAGAGTAACAAGCATAGGTTTAAGTATACAGACTTATTCTTTCGTAAAAATTTGTGTGGGCAACAAACATCACTATCATCATCCATTTGTGCTGATATATACCTCACCATATTCCCAAATAAGGACTCACTCTTTTTTGTGAAATGCAGCGCTGTCAAAGGGAAAGGGGGGGGGGGGGGAAGAAGAGAATTATCTTCTGTTTTGTCAGGTAAAGTACAATAGACCCAAATGTCTTTCTGAATTAAGATATAGAACATGGTTGGAAAGTGAACTGGTCACATCACCTGGTAAGGTCGTGATGTACTTCATGTCGGATATTCCCATCCCAGGTCAGCCGAGTCCACCACAGAAGCCTCTTGACAATTATATTTTGCTATAGCAGCTAGTTTAGGCTGCAGTCAGTTCTGTCTGCTGTAACAGGTAGTTCTGGCTGCAGTCAGTTCTGTCTGCTGTAACAGGTAGTTTTGGCTGTAGTCAGTTTGTATTTCTGTCCCAAGTATTGTTGTCTATTGCATGTATTTCTGTTCCGTGTATTTTTGTCTATTACGTGTATTTCTGTCCCATTTATTTTTGCCTACTGCATGTATTTCTGTCCCGTGTATTTTTGTCTATCGCGTGTATTTCTGTCCTGTGTATTTTTGTCTATTGCGTGTATTTCTGTCCATTGCGTGTATTTCTGTCCCATGTATTTCTTCCCCATGTGTTTCTGTCTCATGTTTTTCTATCCCATGTGTTTCTGTCTCATGTATTTCTGTCTCATGTATTTCTATCCCGTGTATTTCTGTCCCATGTATTTCTGTCCCATGTACTTCTGTCCCATGTTTTCTGTCCCATGTACTTCTGTTCCATGTTTTTCTGTCTCATGTATTTCTGCCCCATGTACTTCTGTCCCATGTACTTCTGTCCCATGTATTTCTGTATGTTGCCTTTTTTAAACTTTTCAGAAAAGAAAAACTAGAGAACGAGGCCAAGTCTGCATCAGAGAGATTTGAGGAGGTTTGTTTTTTCTTATTATCTGAGTGATATGAGGAGGTTTGAGTGACCTGAGGAGGTTTGTTTTGTCTTATTATCTGAGTGATATGAGGAGGTTTGAGTGACCTGAGGAGGTTTGTTTTGTCTTAATATCTGAGTGATATGAGGAGGTTTAAGTGACCTGAGGAGGTTTGTTTTGTCTTATTATCTGAGTGATATGAGGAGGTTTGAGTGACCTGAGGAGGTTTGTTTTATCTTATTATCTGAGTGATATGAGGAGGTTTAAGTGACCTGAGGAGGTTTATTTTGTCTTATTATCTGAGTGATATGAGGAGGTTTGAGTGACCTGAGGAGGTTTGTTTTGTCTGTTACTGACTGTGTTGTCTCAGACATATGGGAGGTATGAGTGATGTAATAGGGTTTGTTTGGTCTATTAATTTCTGTGTTATCATTAATCTCTTTCTACAGAAAGCAAATGATGAAGTCCTTATGACTTGTGAAGAGTTATAGCATTTCCAGATAGCTCTAGGAGTGATATCACTTTTCTTAGTAACATTCATGATATCATTGTCTGGGTAACTCCACACATGAAATATCATTGTGTAACTCCACACATGATATCATTGTCTGGGTAACTCCACACATGATATCATTGTCTTGGTAACTCCACACATGATATCATTGTCTGGGTAACTCCACACATGATATCATTGTCTTGGTAACTCCACACATGATATCATTGTCTGGGTAACTCCACACATGATATCATTGTCTGGGTAACTCTACGCATGATATTATTGTCTTGGTAACTTTACACATGATATCATTGTCTGGGTAACTCCACACATGATATCATTGTCTGGGTAACTCCACACATGATATCATTGTCTGGGTAACTCCACACATGATATCATTGTCTGGGTAACTCCACATTGTCTGGGTAACTCACACATGATATCATTGTCTGGGTAACTCCACACATGATATCATGATCCACACATGATATCATTGTCTGGGTAACTCCACACATGATATCATTGTCTGGGTAACTCCACACATGATATCATTGTCTGGTAACTCCACACATGATATCATTGTCTGGGTAACTCCACACATGATATCATTGTCTGGGTAACTCCACACATGATATCATTGTCTGGGTAACTCCACACATGATATCATTGTCTGGGTAACTCCACGCATGATATCATTGTCTGGGTAACTCCACACATGATATCATTGTCTGGGTAACTCCACACATGATATCATTGTCTGGGTAACTCCACACATGATATCATTGTCTGGGTAACTCCACACATGATATCATTGTCTGGGTAACTCCACACATGATATCATTGTCTGGGTAACTCCACACATGATATCATTGTCTGGGTAACTCCACATGATATCATTGTCTGGGTACTCCACACATGATATCATTGTCTGGGTAACTTCACACACATGATATCATTGTCTGGTAACTCCACACATGATATCATTGTCTGGGTATACTTGGTAACTCCACACATGATATCATTGTCTGGTAACTCCACACATGATATCATTGTCTGGGTACTCCACACATGATATCATTGTCTGGGGTAACTCCACACATGATATCATTGTCTGGGTAACTCCACACATGATATCATTGTACTGGGTAACTTACGCATGATATATTGTATTGGTACTTTATCACATCATTGTCTGGTATATGATATCATTGTCTGGGTAGCTCCACAATGACACAACTCCACGATATCATTGTCTGGGTAACTCCACACATGATATCATTGTCTGGGTAACTCCACACATGATATCATGTTCAGACCCCATGTCTCACAAACACTTGTAGGATTGACCCTGTCTGCCCTAGTTGCGTGTTTCACTCAGCTTGCAACCCAGATTTGGTATTTTAGCATTTGTAGACTTCAGCAACTGCAGACTGCAGGGTAGTACTGACCACATTTTTGTAGGCTGGACATGAGTTGGATGAAATAGCTGTTGGGACATCTACTGGACCTGAGTTGGATGAAATAGCTGTTGGGACATCTACTAGACCTGGGTTGGATGAAATAGCTGTTGGGACATCTACTAGACCTGAGTTGGATGAAATAGCTGTTGTGACATCTACTGGACCTGAGTTGGATGAAATAGCTGTTGGGACATCTACTGGACCTGAGTAGGATGAAATAGCTGTTGGAACATCTACTAGACCTTAAAACTGCCTAAGGAACACTGATGATGGGTTTCAGGCAGCACCTAGGATCGAAGAATGGCTGCATCAAAATGTTCTCAATGTTTGTAGTTTATTAGTTACTATTTTTGCCAGTCTCCATTCTTCTATTTCAATGAGCAGTAATTATTTCACATTAGAATAACATATTGTTTATGGTTGTTCACGAAAAATTCTATGTAATCTTTCATTGTCAATTGAGGTGACAAAGAGAATACTAAAGAGCTTTATACATCTATCCTGATATATGAAAGTGGATCATGGACAAGTGGCAGATTAGAACAATTATGTGGAAGCAGCAGAGATGGGTTTTGGTGCTAGTAATGTTTTGGATCATAAAAAAGAGCGACTTCCCTTCCCATTCCTGCCTGGTCAAGTCGCAGGGCCTCTCCTATGTTGCAGGGATGTCATGTATTCCTTATTTTCAATGCTTTAACCATTCTCTTTGCTCTCCTGTTGTCACTGCTCACTTGCATGATTATTTTTTACGTTCTGCTACATAAACGATAGTTGAGAAGTATGAAAACTGTGATGTTTTTCTTTTCCTGTGTTCCTTGTCAGTAGCTTCTTTTGGGGGGGGGGGAAAGGGGGGGGGAGAGGTGTGATTAGCCACCACCAACAAGATAAAAATACAAAAACATCCCAGTTTCGATACTCACAAATCGAAACAAAAACTGATTCTGGAAGAAAACTGACTGCCCACATCAGAAGGAGTCAGTTACATTCCTTGGTCATGCCATGATAAGAAAACTGGAGTACATCGTGAGGAGGGAAAAGTTGGAGGGAAAAATAGGGAAGACCATGAAAGAAGATGCTAGTTTGACATCATGACATGAAGATCATCTGTTTCAAAACTGATTCAAAGTGCAGGGGACAGAAGGTTGTGTATAGACATGACTACCAATGCCACACAGCATGGACTATAAGAAGAAGTGGTTGTTCAGTTAGCAGTAAAAAAACAACAGATTTTGCCATGTTCTAGCTGTTGTTTATCATTTCTCTACAGATCTCCAAAAAATGGGATACAGCACTGTTGAAGGAGGTTCCCCATGCCTTGCACGAGGTTGGCATTATGTTGTTTATGACTTGGCCCTGGTTATGTTAGTACATTGTGGTAGATAACTTGGTCCTGGCTATGTTAGTACATTGTGGTAGATAACTTGGTCCTGATTATGTTAGTACATTGTGGTAGATGACTTGGTCCTAGTTATGTTAGTACATTGTGGTAGATAACTTGGTCCTGGCTATGTTAGTACATTGTGGTAGATAACTTGGTCCTGATTATGTTAGTACATTGTGGTAGATGACTTGGTCCTAGTTATGTTAGTACATTGTGGTAGATAACTTGGTCCTGGTTATGTTAGTACATTGTGGTAGATAACTTGGTCTTAGTTATGTTAGTCCATTGTGGTAGATAACTTGGTCATGGTTATGTTAGTACACTGTGGTAGATGACTTGGTCATGGTTATGTTAGTACACTTTGGTAGATGACTTGGTCAGTACATTGTGGTAGATAACTTGGCCCTGGTTATGTTAGTACACTGGTAGATAACTTGGTCCTAGTTATGTTAGTACACTGTGGTAGATAACTTGGTCCTGGTTCTGTTAGTACACTGTGGTAGATAACTTGGTCCTGGTTATGTTAGTACACTGTGGTAGATAACTTGGTCCTGGTTCTGTTAGTACACTGTGGTAGATAACTTGGTCCTGGTTATGTTAGTACACTGTGGTAGATGACTTGGTCCTAGTTATGTTAGTATATTGTGGTAGATGACTTGGTCCTAGTTATGTTAGTACACTGTGGTAGATGACTTGGTCCTAGTTCTGTTAGTACACTGTGGTAGACGACTCATTGACTGGGTCCTGGTTAAGTTAGTACACTGTGGTAGATGACTTAGCCCTGGTTCTGTTAGTTCATTGTGGTAGATGACTGGGTCCTGGTTAAGTTAGTACACTGTGGTAGATGACTTGGTCCTGGTTCTGTTAGTACACTTTGGTAGATGACTTGGTCAGTACATTGTGGTAGATAACTTGGCCCTGGTTATGTTAGTACATTGTGGTAGATAACTTGGTCCTAGTTATGTTAGTACACTATGGTTGATAACTTGGTCCTGGTTCTGTTAGTACACTGTGGTAGATAACTTGGTCCTGGTTCTGTTAGTACACTGTGGTAGATAACTTGGTCCTGGTTCTGTTAGTACATAGTGGTGGATAACTTGGTCCTAGTTATGTTAGTACATTGTGGTAGATAACTTGGTCATAGTTATGTTAGTACATTGTGGTGCATAACGTGGTCCTGGTTCTGTTAGTACACTGTGGTAGATAACTTGGTCCTGGTTATGTTAGTACACTGTAGTGGATAACTTGGCCCTGGTTCTGTAAGTACATTGTGGTTGATAACTTGGTCATGGTTATGTTAGTACACTGTGGTAGATAACTTGGTCCTAGTTATGTTAGTATATTGTGGTGGATAACTTGGTCCTGGTTATGTTAGTACATTGTGGTGCATAACTTGGTCCTGGTTCTGTTAGTACACTGTGGTAGATAACTTGGTCCTGGTTATGTTAGTATATTGTGGTAGATGACTTGGTCCTAGTTATGTTAGTACACTGTGGTAGATAACTTAGTCCTGGTTATGTTAGTACATTGTTGTAGATGACTTGGTCAGTACATTGTGGTAGATTACTTGGTCCTAGTTATGTTAGTATGTTTATGTATGGTATACACTATGCATATCTAGTTTTGTTAGTGGACTCTTGCGTCATTAAACATTTTGGGTCCTAATTGTATAAGTATGTTTTACATGTGTATTTTCAGTTTGTTTATTCAATCAACTGTTTCCTTATGTTGTTATCTCTTTGTGGACTGATTATTTCTCTGAGCTAACTGATGTCTTTATGCCTCTTAGTAACTCAATCAAGCTGAATTGTTTCTACCACAGAGGTAATATAAAAATGTTTCTTCCTGCGTGGGTTCTGTGACCCCATTATAGGATAAACAAGAATAGACCCACTGCCTCCTCAACAAGCATGTCATAAGAGTCTACTAATTGAGGGTTTCCTTCAAAGTCAGAGTACATCTGCCTGAGAGGTAAGGAACTAACAGTCTGCATACAGATAAGCTATATCTGTAAAATGGATATACACGCAATACAAGTTCTGGAACATGACTAAAATCCAGTTGTCGACTAACAACCTAGACTTTCTACCAGAGTTTTACAGCTACTGAATATGAAGGAGAAGAAGAAGTAACAAAAAAACAATGAATGCTCCCTCCTGTGTTTGATTCAGAATTATTTGCATTGCTTCTCCAAAATAAAGTTTGAAAAATCTTTATTAGTAAAAAAAAAAATTGTACAACAATTTAGAAAAAAACAGATCAAAAGAGCAAAAGACCAAAAAAAAAAAAAAAAACAAACTCCCAAGCAAATTTCACAAAGTGCAGTTATTTGTCCAAATCCAGGCTTTGCTTCAACAGAAAAGGTCATGTGATGCCATGAATGATGATAAGAATAAAATCATCATGGAGTTCCAGCAGGTATGTGCGGTGTCAGTTTTCTCACCTTCACATGTTGTGTCAGCTCAGCTGTGTCATGATCATATACTGAAGGCTATGTTTGCTGTGCTATGTCTATTGTTTGCTGTGCTATGTCTGTAGTTTGTTGTTCTATGTCTGTAGTTTGCTGTGGTATGTATTTAGTTTTCTGTGCTATGTCTGTAGTTTGCAGTGCTATGTCTGTTGTTTGCTGTGCTATGTCAGTAGTTTGCAGTGCTATGTCTGTTGTTTGTTGTGCTATGTCTGTTGTTTGTTGCAGTGTGTCTGTTGTTTGTTATCTCATGCAGGTTATGCAAGTTTCTTTTATATGAATCTTCCTGACTGGAGAAGGAAAGATCAGATCAAAGACCTCTCCCTTCTTCCTTTTCCTATTTTCCCTTCTTCTTGCTTCCTCTCCCCCTGTCTCCTTTCTGCCCCTGCCTTCCCTCTTCCCCTGTCTCCTTTCTGCCCCTGCCTTCCCTCTTCCCCTGTCTCACATCTCCCCCTACCTCTCCCCCTGTCTCCTTTCTGCCCCTGCCTTCCCTCTTCCCCTGTCTCACATCTCCCCCTACCTCTCCCCTGTCTCCTTTCTGCCCCTGCCTTCCCTCTTCCCCTGTCTCACATCTCCCCCTACCTCTCCCCCTTTCTCCTTTCTGCCCCTGCCTTCCCTCTTCCCCTGTCTCACACCTCCCCCACCTCTCCCACTGATGATGTTTCTGTTGTTGCTTGCAGGATCTGAAGTCTAAAGATGATCTTTATGTCAAGGATCTGAAAAAGATGGCAGAGGATGTGGATCTAATGACAGAAAGAATGACAGAGCAGATTGAAAGTTTACAAAAAGCACAGAAAGAGGAACTAGAACAGATAGAGGTGAGGCTAGCAGTACTGATATCAGTGTTTGTATCTACTTATGAATTGTGTACACAAATATTTCCTTACTGTCATTGACACACATTCATTAGGAGAATGAACAGGTGTTATCATTGTAACAGACTCACAGAACATGCTTTGGGAATTTGAATTACATACATATATCTATTACATACATATATCTATTACATACATATATCTATTACATACATATATCTATTACATACATATATCTATTACATACATATATCTATTACATACATATATCTATTACATACATATATCTATTACATACATATATCCATTACATACATATATCTATTACATACATATATCTATTACATACATATATCTATTACATACATATATCTATTACATACACATAATGAGATGAATGTTTCAGAGAGCATTTGTGATGGAGCGGAATGAGCTACAAGAGCAAGAAAAGAAGAAATGGGAGGAGAAGATGAAACTTAGGAGGGATAAAGAGGAAGAGTATCTCATCCAGCGACAGAAGAGAGTAGAGGAGTATGCAGCTCAGTTGCAACACATGAGGGTTCAAGATGCTGAAGAATACAACCAGGTCAAGGTCAGACTGGAAACAGATGTTCAGGTCAGAGCCAAATGTTGATCTCCCTGCCTGTGTGGGTTCTGGGGCCATGTTGTCACCCGTGTGGGTTCTGGGGCCATGTTGTCACCCATGTGGGTTCTGGGCCCATGTTGTCGCCCGTGTGGGTTCTGGGGCCATGTTGTCGCCCGTGTGGGTTCTGGGCCCATGTTGTCACCCGTGTAGGTTCTGGGCCATGTTGTCGCCCGTGTGGGTTCTGGGCCCATGTTGTCGCCCGTGTGGGTTCTGGGGCCATGTTGTCGCCCGTGTGGGTTCTGGGCCCATGTTGTCACCCGTGTGGGTTCTGGGGCCATGTTATCGCCCGTGTGGGTTCTGGGGCCATGTTGTCACCCGTGTGGGTTCTGGGACCATGTTGTCGACCGTGTGGGTTCTGGGGCCATGTTGTCACCTGTGTGGGTTTTGGGGCCATGTTGTCGACAGTGTGGGTTCTGGAGCCATGTTGTCACCAGTGTGGGTTCTGGGGCCATGTTGATGAGGGGGGGGGGGGAGGGGGATAGACCACTTCCTTCCTAACAGCATGTCATAAAAGTAAAAAAATTAGGGGTGTTTTCTTCAAAGTCAGAGTGCATCTGCTTGAGAGATGAGGAACCAACAGTCTGCACACACATAAGCCAGAACTCTAAAATGGATATGCTTGCACAACTTGAGTAAAGTCCACAAGTGAATGAATAAATAAAACAGAGAGTTGACAGCTGGAGAACACTTAACAGAATATGGAATGTTGATCATTTGTGATATTTCTTGCTGTTAAATGGTTGCTGATTGGTGCAATATAATTCAGCATGTTGATTGTGGGCACCGTTAGGAATGTACTTGATTGCTTTACTGAAATATCACATGGGTATTGCATGGGTCTACCCCTGTATCCCTGAAGTGCCATGTACATAGTTATATCCCTGTATCCCTGAAGTGCCATGTACATAGTTCTATCCCTGCATCCCTGAAGTGCCATGTACATGGGTCTACCCCTGTATCCCTGAAGTGCCATGTACACAGTTCTATCCATGTATCCCTGAAGTGCCATGTACATGGGTCTACCCCTGTATCCCTGAAGTGCCATGTACACAGTTCTATCCCTGTATCCCTGAAGCGCCATGTACATAGTTCTACCCCTGTATCCCTGAAGTGCCATGTACACAGTTCTATCCCTGTATCCCTGAAGTGCCATGTACATAGTTCTATCCCTGTATCCCTGAAATGCTATGTACATGGGTCTATCCCTGTATCCCTGAAGTGCCATGTACATAGTTCTATCCCTGTATCCCTGAAGTGCCATGTACACACAGTTCATGTACTGTTCTATCCCTGTAAAGTGCCACACTTTTTTTTCAAAGAATAACAAATTGGGCTATCCAGGCATCCCTGTTACTTGTACATGGGTCTCTTTCCCTGACACAAACATGCAATCTTTCACACAGCAATCCTTTCACACAGCAGTCTTTCACACAGCAATCTTTTCAAAGCAATCAAATTCACACAGCACTGTCTTTCACACAGCAATCTTTCACACAGCAATCTTTCACACAGCAATCTTTCACACAGCAATCTTTCACACAGCAATCTTTCACACAGCAATCTTTCACACAGCAATCTTTCACACAGCAATCTTTCACACAGCAATCTTTCACACAGCAATCTTTCACACAGCAGTCTTTCACACAGCAATTGTATTTTATCAATAAAGTATGTTATGTTCATATAGCAATATGCATAATATGAATATCAACGAAAAACATGAAAGCATGTAAATGCATGTGCACATACACACTAACTCACTCACTTATGGATTTATTCACTCACTCATGGATTCATTCACTCACTCACTCACTTGTTATTTTGTCAGTGGTTCTGTGGCCTAGAAGGGAATGATGCATTATCACAGTTTCACACTCCTAGACACACCCGGGCTAGATTTCCAATGTGGGCGGTTTATAAAAGAATTAGTTCTTTTGACTTTGGACAGTGGGACAAGAGTCACACATGTAGAAGAGATTGTACACCATGTACTGGTCCAAAGATAGCAGCGGGTAAAACTGTTTTAATAAATACATTGGTACTGTGTGTGTATAGTGAGCTGTGTAATAACTTGTTTGTTTTTATCAAGAAGTTTGTACATTTGCTGTTTGGGAGATGATGTTGATGACATATTAGACATATTATTTCGCTGCCTTAGACATGTCATCATTTCTTGTGTGTGGCCTGTGCTGCAGATCCTGGAGCAGCAGCTGCAACAGATGAAGGCAACATTCCAGCTGAACCAGGAGAAGCTGGAGTACAACTTCCAGGTGTTGAAGAAACGCGACGAGGAGAACACCATTACTAAGGCACTGCAGAAGAGGAAGATCACAAGGTCAGTGACCCAGAGTTCATGGCTGCTTGACACCAGGGTACAAGGTCAATGACCCAGAGTTCATGGCTGCTTGAGACCAGGGTAAAGGTCAGTGACCCAGAGTTCATGGTTGCTTCAGACTAAGGTACAAGATCAGTGACCCACATTAAGCTTCTGCTTAAGACCAGGGTAAAGGTCAATGACCCAGAGTTCATGGCTGCTTGAGACCAGGGCACAAGGTCAGTGACCCAGAGTTCATGGCTGCTTGAGACCAGGGCACAAGGTCAATGACCCAGAGTTCATGGCTGCTTGAGACCAGGGTACAAGGTCAGTGACCCAGAGTTCATGGCTGCTTGAGACCAGGGCACAAGGTCAATGACCCAGAGTTCATGGCTGCTTGAGACCAGGGTACAAGGTCAGTGACCCAGAGTTCATGGCTGCTTGAGACCAGGGTACAAGGTCAATGACCCAGAGTTCAGGGCTGCTTGAGACGAGGGTAAAGGTCAATGACCCAGAGTTCATGGCTGCTTGAGACCAGGGTACAAGGTCAGTGACCCAGAGTTCATGGCTGCTTGAGACCAGGGTACAAGGTCAGTTACCCAGAGTTCATGGCTGCTTGAGACCAGGGTACAAGGTCAGTGACCCAGAGTTCATGGCTGCTTGAGACCAGGGCACAAGGTCAATGACCCAGAGTTCATGGCTGCTTGAGACCAGGGTACAAGGTCAGTGACCCAGAGTTCATGGCTGCTTGAGACCAGGGTACAAGGTCAGTGACCCAGAGTTCATGGCTGCTTGAGACCAGGGTACAAGGTCAATGACCCAGAGTTCAGGGCTGCTTGAGACGAGGGTAAAGGTCAATGACCCAGAGTTCATGGCTGCTTGAGACCAGGGTACAAGGTCAGTGACCCAGAGTTCATGGCTGCTTGAGACCAGGGTACAAGGTCAATGACCCAGAGTTCATGGCTGCCTAAGACCAGGGTACAAGGTCAATGACCCAGAGTTCATAGCTGCTCGAGACCAGGGTACAAGGTCAATGGCCCAGAGTTCATGGCTGCTTGAGACCAGGGTACAAGCCCAGTAACCGAGAGTTCACGGCTGCTTCATGACAGGTTAAACCCCCCAACCTGACTATTATTTTTAAAGTTGTGGAATTTTACTTGTTTACACTGCCTGAAACTTTATTTATTTTTGCACATAATAATCTGTCTTGTTGCAAAATTCTATCTGAAAGTAATGTTATTCCATTTTTTTTTTAAATTGTCATGGTAACTGTTTATTTACCTTATTACATATATATGAGAATATTCTAACAGTGATAACTCTGTTATTTATCAACCTATTTTAATAATTTGTTTCACACATTTGTTAGAAGTTGTAGAACAGGGATAGCCTAATCCCTGTAACCCATGAAAGATCAAGGCAACAGAAGTTGTAGAAGTGGTATAGCCTGAAACCCATGAAAGAGACCAAGGCAACAGAAGTTGAGGAATGGTGGTGGAGCGCAATGATTGTGTACTTAACAGTGACAAAGACAACAGAAATTGGTAGATGATTGTGTATTTGAAAGGGATTAAGTTAACAGAAGCTGGGAGATGGGTGGTGTCTTCTCACAGGAAGGCGGGATGCTAAGCTTATTTTCCTTACACTAACTGCACATATAAGTATTGAAAACCTGGTCACAGCATTTTTATGTTTACTAGGGCTTAATTTGTTTTTGTGTAATGTTGACATATGCTATATTTGTTGTGTTTGTGTGATGTTGACATATGCTATATTTGCTGTGTTTGTGTGATATTGACATATGCTGTATTTGTTGTGTTTGTGTGATGTTGACTTATGCTATATTTGTTGTGTTTGTGTGATGTTGACATATGCTATATTTGCTGTGTTTGTGTGATATTGAAATATGCTGTATTTTGTTGTGTTTGTGTGATGTTGACTTATGCTATATTTGTTGTGTTTGTGTGATGTTGACATATGCTATATTTGTTGTGTTTGTGTGATGTTGACATATGCTATATTTGTCATGTTTGTGTGATGTTGACATATGCTATATTTGTTGTGTTTGTGTGATGTTGACATATGCTGTATTTGTTGTGTTTGTGTGATGTTGACATATGCTGTATTTGTTGTGTTTGAATGATGTTGACATATGCTGTATTTGTTGTGCTTGTGTGATGTTGACATATGCTGTATTTGTTGTGTTTGAATGATGTTGACTTATGCTATATTTGTTGTGTTTGTGTGATGTTGACATATGCTATATTTGTCATGTTTGTGTGATGTTGACATATGCTATATTTGTTGCGTTTGTGTGATGTTGACATATGCTATATTTGTTGCGTTTGTGTGATGTTGACATATGCTATATTTGTTGCGTTTGTGTGATGTTGACATATGCTATATTTGTCCAGACTACAAGATGTACTCAATGCCTTAAAAGAGAAGCTCACCAAACAAGAGAAAACATTTAAGGCTGAGAATGTTCAACTGAGTGAAGATTACAGGAGAATCACAGAACAGTTTCATGATCTGCAGAGAAAGTCCAAGTTAGTCTTTGTTTTCTGTCAGTTTGTAGACTGGAATCAAAATGTGACAACATGCTAGAAAACATTCTATAAAAACTGTGTACACATTACATAACAGACGTGCAGTAGAACTCTATGGGGAAGTGAACATAACAGACATGCAGTAGAACTCTTTGGGGAAGTGAGCATAACAGACATGCAGTAGAACTTTATGGGAAGTTGAGCATAACAGACATGCAGTAGAACTCTATGGGAAGTTGAACATAACAGACATGCAGTAGAACTCTATGGGAAGTTGAACATAACAGACATGCAGTAGAACTCTATGGGGAGTTGAGCATAACAGACATGCAGTAGAACTCTATGGGGAAGTGAGCATAACAGAAATGCAGTAGAACTTTATGGGAAAGTGAACATAACAGACATGCAGTAGAACTCTGTGGGAAAGTGAACATAACAGACATGCAGTAGAACTTTATGGGAAAGTGAACATAACAGACATGCAGTAGAACTCTATGGGGAAGTGAACATAACAGACATGCAGTAGAACTCTATGGGGAAGTGAACATAACAGACATGCAGTAGAACTCTATGCGGAAGTGAACATAACAGACATGCAGTAGAACTCCATGGGGAAGTGAACATAACAGACATGCAGTAGAACTCTATGGGAAAGTGAACATAACAGACATGCAGTAGAACTCTATGGGAAAGTGAACATAACAGACATGCAGTAGAACTCTATGGGGAAGTGAACATAACAGACATGCAGTAGAACTCTATGGGGAGTTGAGCATAACAGACATGCAGTAGAACTCCATGGGAAAGTGAACATAACAGACATGCAGTAGAACTCTATGGGGAAGTGAACATAACAGACATGCAGTAGAACTCTATGGGAAAGTGAACATAACAGACATGCAGTAGAACTCTATGGGGAGTTGAGCATAACAGACATGCAGTAGAACTCTATGGGGAAGTGAACATAACAGACATGCAGTAGAACTCTATGGGGAGTTGAGGATAACAGACGTGCAGTAGAACTCTATGGGGAGTTGAGCATAACAGACATGCAGTAGAACTTTATGGGAAAGTGAGCATAACAGACATGTAGTAGAACTCTATGGGGAGTTGAGCATAACAGACATGCAGTAGAACTTTATGGGGAGTTGAGCATAACAGACATGCAGTAGAACTTTATGGGAAAGTGAACATAACAGACATGCTGTAGAACTGTATGGGGAAGTGAACATAACAGACATGCAGTAGAACTCTATGGGGAAGTGAACATAACAGACATGCAGTAGAACTCTATGGGGAAGTGAACATAACAGACATGCAGTAGAACTCTATGGGGAAGTGAACATAACATTCATGCAGTAGAACTCTATGGGAAAGTGAACATAACAGACATGCAGTAGAACTCTATGGGAAAGTGAACATAACAGACATGTAGTAGAACTCTATGGGAAAGTGAACATAACAGACATGCAGTAGAACTCTATGGGGAGTTGAGCATAACAGACATGCAGTAGAACTCTATGGGAAAGTGAGCATAACAGACATGTAGTAGAACTCTATGGGGAAGTGAACATAACAGACATGCAGTAGAACTCTATGGGGAGTTGAGCATAACAGACATGTAGTAGAACTCCATGGGAAGTGAACATAACAGACATGCAGTAGAACTCTATGGGGAGTTGAGCATAACAGACATGTAGTAGAACTCTATGGGGAAGTGAACATAACAGACATGTAGTAGAACTCTATGGGGAAGTGAACATAACAGACATGCAGTAGAACTCTATGGGGAGTTGAGCATAACAGACATGTAGTAGAACTCCATGGGAAGTGAACATAACAGACATGCAGTAGAACTCTATGGGAAGTGAACATAACAGACATGTAGTAGAACTCTATGGGAAGTTGAGCATAACAGACATGTAGTAGAACTCTATGGGAAGTTGAGCATAACACACATGAAGTAGAACTCTATGGGAAGTGAACATAACAGACATGTAGTAGAACTCTATGGGGAAGTGAACATAACAGACATGCAGTAGAACTCTATGGGAAAGTGAACATAACAGACATGCAGTAGAACTCTATGGGAAAGTGAACATAACAGACATGCAGTAGAACTCTATGGGGAAGTGAACATAACAGACATGCAGTAGAACTCTATGGGGAGTTGAGCATAACAGACATGCAGTAGAACTCTATGGGGAAGTGAACATAACAGACATGTAGTAGAACTCTATGGGGAGTTGAGCATAACAGACATGCAGTAGAACTCTATGGGGAAGTGAACATAACAGACATGCAGTAGAACTCTATGGGGAGTTGAGCATAACAGACATGCAGTAGAACTCTATGGGGAAGTGAACATAACAGACATGTAGTAGAACTCTATGGGGAGTTGAGCATAACAGGAGAATTGTCATCTCTAGAAGAAGTCCCCCATTGCCAAATGGTTTTTATCCTGTTGACTTTAGCTAACGTTCTCTGGTGGTGCATTCATGAGAGCTGCAACCTCTGTGGTCTTTCTCCTGTTGTGCGCTCACCAGAGCTGCAACCTATGTGGTCTTTCTCCTGTTGTGTGTTCAAATGGTTTGCCCACATGAAAACATTGGTTCTAAAATGATGGTCACAAAGTGTGCTCTAGAGCTAACGGGCCTTGGGAAAGGCACACTTTGTACACTTTACTCCCAAACATGACAGATAACCTGCCTCCCTACTTGGGTTAAGGGTATTCAAGAATAGTCCCACTGCCTCCCTATGTGGGTTTAGGGTATACAATATTAGTCCCACTGCCTCCCTATGTGGGTTTAGGTTACACAATAATAGTCCCACTGCCTCCCCACTTGGGTTTAGGGTATACAAGAACAATCCCACTGCCTCCCCACTTGGGTTTAGGGTATACATGAATATTCCCACTGCCTCCCCATGTGCGTTTAGGGTATACAAGAATAGTTCCACTGCCTCCCTATGTGGGTTTAGGGTATACAAGAATAGTCCCACTGCCTCCCCATGTGGGTTTAGGGTATACAATAATAGTCCCACTGCCTCCCCACTTGGGTTTAGGGTACACAAGAATAGTCCCACTCCCCTTGTGGGTTTAGGGTACACAAGAATAGTCCCACTGCCTCCCCACTTGGGTTTAGGGTATACAAGAATAGTCCCACTGCCTCCCCACTTGGGTTTAGGGTATACAAGAATAGTCCCACTGCCTCCCCACTTGTGTTTAGGGTATACAATAATAGTCCCACTGCCTCCCCATGTGGGTTTAGGGTACACAAGAATATTCCCATGTGGGTTTAGGGTATACAATAATAGTCCCACTGCCTCCCTATGTGGGTTTAGGGTATACAAGAATATTCCCACTGACTCCATATGTGGGTTTAGGGTATACAATAATAGTCCCACTGCCTCCCCATGTGGGTTTAGGGTATACAATAATAGTCCCACTGCCTCCCCATGTGGGTTTAGGGTATACAATAATAGTCCCACTGCCTCTTCATGTGGGTTTAGGGTACACAATAATAGTCCCTCTGCCTTCCCATGTGGGTTTAGGGTACACAATAATAGTCCCACTGCCTCCCCATGTGGGTTTAGGGTATACAAGAATATTCCCACTGCCTCCCCATGTGGGTTTAGGGTATACAAGAATATTCCCACTGCCTTCCCATGTGGGTTTAGGGTATACAAGAATATTCCCACTGCCTCCCCATGTGGGTTTAGGGTACACAATAATAGTCCCACTGCCTCCCCATGTGGGTTTAGGGTATACAAGAATATTCCAACTGACTCCATATGTGGGTTTAGGGTATACAATAATAGTCCCACTGCCTCCCCATGTGGGTTTAGGGTATACAATAATAGTCCCACTGCCTCCCTATGTGGGTTTAGGGTATACAAGAATATTCCCACTGACTCCCCATGTGGGTTTAAGGTATACAAGAATATTCCCACTGCCTCCCTATGTGGGTTTAGGGTATACAAGAATATTCCCACTGACTCCCCATGTGGGTTTAGGGTATACAATAATAGTCCCACTGCCTCCCTATGTGGGTTTAGGGTATACAATAATAGTCCCACTGCCTCCCCATGTAGGTTTAGGGTATACAATAATAGTCCCACTGCCTCTTCATGTGGGTTTAGGGTACACAATAATAGTCCCTCTGCCTTCCCATGTGGGTTTAGGGTACACAATAATAGTCCCACTGCCTTCCCATGTGGGTTTAGGGTATACAAGAATATTCCCACTGCCTCCCCATGTGGGTTTAGGGTATACAAGAATATTCCCACTGCCTTCCCATGTGGGTTTAGGGTATACAAGAATATTCCCACTGCCTCCCCATGTGGGTTTAGGGTACACAATAATAGTCCCACTGCCTCCCCATGTGGGTTTAGGGTATACAAGAATATTCCCACTGACTCCATATGTGGGTTTAGGGTATACAATAATAGTCCCACTGCCTCCCCATGTGGGTTTAGGGTATACAATAATAGTCCCACTGCCTCCCTATGTGGGTTTAGGGTATACAAGAATATTCCCACTGACTCCCCATGTGGGTTTAAGGTATACAAGAATATTCCCACTGCCTCCCTATGTGGGTTTAGGGTATACAAGAATATTCCCACTGACTCCCCATGTGGGTTTAGGGTATACAATAATAGTCCCACTGCCTCCCTATGTGGGTTTAGGGTATACAATAATAGTCCCACTGCCTCCCCATGTGGGTTTAGGGTATACAAGAATAGTCCCACTGCCTCCCTATGTGGGTTTAGGGTATACAAGAATATTCCCACTGCCTCCCTATGTGGGTTTAGGGTATACAAGAATATTACCACTGCCTCCCTATGTGGGTTTAGGGTATACAAGAATATTCCCACTGCCTCCCTATGTGGGTTTAGGGTATACAAGAATATTCCCACTGACTCCCCATGTGGGTTTAGGGTATACAATAATAGTCACAGAAATGCACATAAAACTCAGGTTCTGAAACAAGATTAAATTTTGGAGTGTACAGTCTGTGAATGCAAAGGAGAAGATAACCTACCACTGCCACACAACACCACACCATACACACACACACACACACACACACATGCAAAGCAACACACAAAAAAAACCCACACACACACACACACCATGTGCACACGCTCACACACAACAAAACAAACATAAAAATTAAAAATTATAAAAAATAGAGACAGAAGTCTAAACCTGCATGCTTATGTTGTCAGCTCACTGATATCTACATCTATGTTGTCAGCTCACTGATATCTACATCTATGTTGTCAGCTCACTGATATCTACATCTATGTTGTCTGCTCACTGATATCTACATCTATGTTGTCAACTCACTGATATCTACATCTATGTTGTCAGCTCACTGATATCTACATCTATGTTGTCAGCTCACTGATATCTACATCTATGTTGTCAACTCACTGATATCTACATCTATGTTGTCAGCTCACTGATATCTACATCTATGTTGTCAGCTCACTGATATCTTTATCTGTGTTGTCAGCTCACTGATATCTACATCTATGTTGTCAGCTCACTGATATCTACATCTATGTTGTCAGCTCACTGATATCTTTATCTGTGTTGTCAGCTCACTGATATCTACATCTGCTCACTGATATCTACATCTATGTTGTCAACTCACTGATATCTTCATCTATGTTGTCAGCTCACTGATATCTTCATCTATGTTGTCAGCTCACTGATATCTTCATCTATGTTGTCAACTCACTGATATCTACATCTGCTCACTGATATCTACATCTATGTTGTCAACTCACTGATATCTACATCTATGTTGTCAACTCACTGATATCTACATCTGCTCACTGATATCTTCATCTATGTTGTCAGCTCACTGATATCTTCATCTATGTTGTCAGCTCACTGATATCTACATCTATGTTGTCAACTCACTGATATCTACATCTGCTCACTGATATCTTCATCTATGTTGTCAGCTCACTGATATCTACATCTGCTCACTGATATCTACATCTATGTTGTCAGCTCACTGATATCTTCATCTATGTTGTCAACTCACTGATATCTACATCTATGTTGTCAGCTCACTGATATCTACATCTGCTCACTGATATCTACATCTATGTTGTCAGCTCACTGATATCTACATCTATGTTGTCAACTCACTGATATCTACATCTATGTTGTCAACTCACTGATATCTACATCTATGTTGTCAGCTCACTGATATCTACATCTATGTTGTCAACTCACTGATATCTACATCTATGTTGTCAGCTCACTGATATCTACATCTATGTTGTCAACTCACTGATATCTACATCTATGTTGTCAGCTCACTGATATCTACATCTATGTTGTCAGCTCACTGATATCTACATCTGTGTTGTCAGCTCACTGATATCTACATCTATGTTGTCAGCTCACTGATATCTACATCTATGTTGTCAGCTCACTGATATCTACATCTATGTTGTCAGCTCACTGATATCTACATCTGTGTTGTCAGCTCACTGATATCTACATCTGTGTTGTCAGCTCACTGATATCTACATCTATGTTGTCAGCTCACTGATATCTACATCTATGTTGTCAGCTCACTGATATCTACATCTATGTTATCAGCTCACTGATATCTACATCTATGTTGTCAGCTCACTGATATCTACATCTATGTTGTCAACTCACTGATATCTTCATCTATGTTGTCAGCTCACTGATATCTACATCTATGTTGTCAACTCACTGATATCTACATCTATGTTGTCAACTCACTGATATCTACATCTATGTTGTCAGCTCACTGATATCTACATCTATGTTGTCAACTCACTGATATCTACATCTATGTTGTCAGCTCACTGATATCTTTATCTGTGTTCAACTTCACTGAGCTTTGACATTTCTCTCATTGACTTTGACCCAGACATTTTATAGCGACTGATGCGAAGAAGTTTCACGACATCTGGTGCATGAACGAGGAAGAATGTAAGAACCTTCTCTCAGAGGTCCTGGACGCCGACAAGGCTATCCATGAGCAACAGCTGGGACTACCATGGGAGCCACCAGATGTGTATGTGTTCCTTCTGTAGCTGGACTCCTTAGAATATTCTTTAGTGATGCTCTTAGAATATTCTTTAGTGATGCTCTTAGAATATTCTTTAGTGATGCTTTTAGAATATTCTTTAGTGATGTTCTTAGAATATTCTTTAGTGATGTTCTTAGAATATTCTTTAGGGATGTTCTTAGAATATTCTTTAGTGATGTTCTTAGAATATTCTTTAGTGATGTTCTTAGAATATTCTTTAGTGATGTTCTTAGAATATTCTTTAGTGATGCTCTTAGAATATTCTTTAGTGATGTTCTTAGAATATTCTGTAGTGATGCTTTCAGAATATTCTTTTTTGATGTTCTTAGAATATTCTTTAGTGATGTTCTTAGAATATTTTTTAGTGATGTTCTTAAAATATTCTTTAGTGATGTTCTTAAAATATTCTTTAGTGATGTTCTTAAAATATTCTTTAGTGATGTTCTTAAAATATTCTTTAGTGATGCTCTTAAAATATTCTTTAGTGATGTTCTTAAAATATTCTGTAGTGATATTCTCAAAATATTCTTTAGTGATGCTCTTAAAATATTCTCTAGTGATGTTCTTAAAATATTCTTTAGTGATGTTCTTAAAATATTCTTTAGTGATGTTCTTAAAATATTCTTTAGTGATGCTCTTAAAATATTATTTTGTGATGGTCATAGAATATTGTTTAATGATGCTCTTAGAATATTGTTTAGTGATGCTCTTAAAATATTATTTTGTGATGGTCATAGAATATTTTCAAGTGATGCTCTCAAACTATTTTCAGATTATAATTTTAGAATAGTCTTAAGTGATGCTCTTAAAATATTTTTAAGTGATGCTTTTAGAATATTCCCAAGTGATGCTCTTAAAATATTCTTAATTGATGCTGTTATGATTTACTAAAGTGACGCTTTTAGAATAGCGTCACTGTTCAGTTGTGCCAGTTTTCGTTAGTCTATAAATGTTTTACTTATAATTTGAGTTTTCTTGTAAATGTAAGTATGCTTGTAAATGTAAGTATACTTGTAAATGTAAGCATACTTGTAAATGTAATTATACTTGTAAATGTAATATACTTGTAAGCACTTTCATGTATGATTTTAGTTGTGCTTGTAAACATGTTTGTGTTCAGAAATATTGTCGTACTTGTACTTGTGCTTGTAGTTTTGAGGTTTTTAGTTACACTTTTGGCATGGATTTTGAAGTTATAAATGTGGGTTTTCAGTTCTCATTTGATTCTGTTTGCAAGTTTTCTCATCTGAAGGTCATTCATGGACAATGTTGGACCCATCGCCAACTCAGCCAAAGGCAAGACTCTCTCGGCCACCAAGGTCCTCCATGATGTCATGTCTGGCAAGTCTCATTCTGTTCTTATTCTTGCATGTTCTTCTTTGTGGGGATCCCTGTGGTCAGGCAGTTTACCTTAAGTTATGAAGGTTGGGGATTCATTTCACCGACTACTTAGTTCAGTTTGTGACTTCCGGTTTAGAAATGGTGGCGCCAAGATATTTTTGCGGCAACACACGGTATTATTAGGGCTGTACCGAAAAGGGATTTTCACTATTCGGCCAAATAAGAATAGCGGGACTAACTATTTGGCAGAATACGAATACGAATAGTGTATCATCATCATCAGGTGCCTTGCCACAATCTGCGATTTCCTGCAGCATGTATTAGTTCTTGTGCTGACATACCTCGATGCCATGCGACAAGACTGTCAAGAATCTTTTCTCGTTGTCTTCCTTTATCCCTCCTTCCACAGATCTTTCCAGTGGTCACCACATGTTCCATTTTCTCTCTTCTCATAACATGGCCGAAAAATAATGACTGTCTCCTGTTGTCTTTAGGCTCCCACCTCTTTTAAAACCTCTTGGTTGCTTTTTTTGGCTGTCCAAAGTATTATAAGCATTCTTCTGTAAAACCACATTTCTGAGGCCTCAAGAAATTGTTTGGCCTGCCTACCGATTGTCCAGGACTCACAGTCCATACGTTAAAACTGGATGCTGTACCACGCAACCGGGTCGCAGTTGCCCCTGTTACGACAGTATTCGACCGAATACCGAATAGTTATTAGGTCCACTATTCGGCCCTGAAGCGAATATGAAGCAAATATTTGGTACAGCCCTAGATTTTATTATCAACATTTACACTTTATCTGTGTTTTGGAGGGGGGGGGGGGGGGGGGGGTAGCAAAGTGCATTTATTACAGGTTTATTTGTGATGGATATTTTATTACATGTGGAAACTAAATATTATGTGGTATAGGGTGATTATGATCAAATTAATTCTGACAAACAGCAGCGGTAGCTGTCATGTACTAATATCAGTAATGTAACCGCAGGAGCCAGGCTCCAATTATAAATATGGGAGTCCACGAGTAAGGTCACAGTCTACCCTAGTGAAATAAGGTGCTGAAGTCAGAGACAACCAGCCAGGAGGCGTACCACAGCAATCAGGATGCCATGCACAAATCATCAGCACATGAGTTTGATTCTTACCATGTGACTGGCTCACGTACACGGGGGACGTCTTACCGGCCTACTTCTAGTTGAAGGGTCCAGCTACAAATACTGGAAGCCACCTCCAAATACTGGAAGCCACCTCCAAATACTGGAAGCCACCTCCAAATACTGGAAGCCACCTCCAAATACTGGAAGCCACCTCCAAATACTGGAAGCCACCTCCAAATACTGGAAGCCACCTCCAAATACTGGAAGCCACCTCCAAATACTGGAAGCCACCTCCAAATACTGGAAGCCACCTCCAAATAAATACTGGAAGCCACCTCCAAATACTGGAAGCCACCTCCAAATACTGGAAGCCACCTCCAAATGCCTCATAGAACCATAAGAGCAAGAAAATACAGCTAGTCTAAAAATAAAGCACTGGAACACAGAGGGAGTAAATACTAAGAAAATAGAACTAGAAAACACTTTGAACGAAGAGCAGAAACACGTATGCTGCCTTCAAGAGGCCTATCTTATCAACAGAAGAAGGGAATAATCAAATCAATCAGAAAGCCAGTGACATGATTGCCACGTTATGGACAGACCAGAACAAGTCATTATCCTACACCTTAGATCAGGGCACAATCGACTTCACAGCCACATGTACCAAAAATGTAAGATTGTTAATCAGCCATGTGTACCTGTGGACTGGCACCGGAGACAATAGATCACATCCTCCAATACTGTCCCAGACACAACCGTTCCAGACAAAACCTCTGGCCAAGAGAGACACGGGTGGAAGCCAAACTTTACAGTCTGCTAAGTGAATTACAAAAAAAAAAACCCAGTGAAGTTCATACTAAAGACAGCATTACAATGTAGATAATATATTTCAAGTGAATGAAAGAAGAAGAAAAAAAAAGAAGAAGAAAAAGAAGAAGAAGAAGAAGAAGAAGAAGAAGAAAAGAAGAAGAAGAAAAATAATAATAATAATAATAATAATGATAAGAAGAAGTTTGTGAGTGCAGTTTCGGTTTTGACACAGATCCCTAGAAAGCATCACTGGAACTACAGAATGTCATGCTTTCAGCAGACGGTTAGCTGTTTTGTGGAGATGGTCCGAGCTGCATGGGATAAAGCCAAATGCAATAAAACTGATCTTCTTGACTTTAAATCTTTTTGTTTACAATAAATTAGTATTGTCAGTGCGGCGTCCGTGGCTAAGGCGTTGCGAGTCCGACTCGTAAGCCAGCATACCGTGATCGAAACCCACTGGAGGCTGCGTGGATTTTTGTCGTGGTATGGGACGTCGCAGGTCGACCCAGCCTAAAATGGGTACCAGGATGGGCTGTCCTGGGAAAGTAAAGACAGCCGGCGTAATGCTGACCACATTACCCACAGAGTGCTGATGGCCTGTAAAAATATGGGACGCTCTGTCCCGATGCGCCGAAAGGCGTGAAAAGGGAACTTTACTTTACTTTTTTTTACTTAGTATTGTCAGTCAAAACAAAGTGGCCAACCAGCTGGGCCAGGATTTCCAGACAGGATCAGACTTGCACAGGATAGGCGGAAGATAGGATCAGACTTGCACAGCTGTGGCAGAAAATAGGATCAGACTTGCACAGCTGTGGCAGAAGATAGGATCAGACTTGCACAGCTTAGGCAGAAGATAGGATCAGACTTGCACAGCTGTGGCAGAAGATAGGATCAGACTTGCACAGCTTAGGCAGAAGATAGGATAAGACTTGCACAGCTGTGGCAGAAAATAGGATCAGACTTGCACAGCTGTGGCAGAAGATAGGATCAGACTTGCACAGCTGTGGCAGAAGATATAATCAGACTTGCACAGCTGTGGCAGAAGATATAATCAGACTTGCACACCTTAGGCAAAAGATAGGATCAGACTTGCACAGCTGTGGCAGAAGGTAGGATCAGTTTTGCACAGCTTAGGCAGAAGGTAGGATCAGACTTTGACAGCTGCAGCAGAAGATAGGATCAGACTTGCGCAGCTGCGGCAGACATTATATGACCTGAAGTGAGATTTGGAAATGTTTGAATTTTGATTTCGTAGGTAGATGATTATGTTGTTAGTAGATTAGTCCAAGATAAGATAATTTTTGAATTCCTAGACGTTGTTGTAATAGGTAAAACTGAGTCTGAAGAGGAGCTGAACGAAGAAGGAGAGATGGCTGCAATCTACAACAAGATATCGCCACACTCCATCAAACGTGTCCTGGAGCTGCTGTGTGACGAGGCGGTGAGAACTAGTGTTGACTAGTTTTGTTATCGTTTTACTTCATAACCATACCAGCATTTTGACGACTGTGTACATTGTGGCAGTGGATGACACAGATGTCTAAGGTTCAAATCCTGTTAACTTACTCTGACACAGACAAGAGAGACTTTTTCATCGCCATGTAGTAAGACTGTGAACCAAGAACTAACTTCCATCCATACAGTAGACACCAGAGCACAGCCTGCTCTTCATACCCAGCCAATAGCATACTAGATTGGCACATGTAGACTTCATCGCATGGCTTGTGGACAGTAGTATGAGAGTTACACCTTGGAAGAACTGTGGTCATCACAAAACGAAATTCTCAATGATAGCAATGGAGGTGCATATGTACTGAAGCCAGCCTCAGTTGAGGAGATGGCACCTTTAAATAAATAAAATATTCATGTTGACATATCATTGCAGATACTCTGTGAACCACATAGATACTATGTGAATCCCACTGATACTCTGTGAACCACACAGATACTCTGTGAACCACACAGATACTCTGTGAACCACACAGATACTCTGTGAACCACACAGATACTATGTGAACCACGCAGATACTATGTGAACCACGCAGATACTATGTGAACCACACAGATACTATGTGAACCACACAGATACTCTGTAAACCACTCAGATACTCTGTGAACCACACAGATACTCTGTGAACCACACAGATACTCTGTGAACCACACAGATACTCTGTGAACCACACTGATACTCTGTGAACCACACTGATACTCTGTGAACCACACAGATACTCTGTGAACCACACAGATACTCTGTGAACCACACTGATACTCTGTGAACCACACAGATAATATGTGAACCACACAGATACTCTGTGAACCACACAGATAATATGTGAACCACACAGATAATATGTGAACCACACAGATAATATGTGAACCACACAGATACTCTGTGAACCATTGGCTCCATCTTCTTCATTGCATTCATCAGCTGTAAACTCCAGGAGAATGTTCTGGTTGTTTGCTCACCTCTTAACTTAGTCTTGTTCTAGAATCTGAGTGCTGCATGCACGGCCATTTTACAGATCTGGTTTATTTGTATGCAGATTGTTGGTTTCTTGCCTCTGAGGGAGATGCACTTTGAAGCTCCCAGTTAGTTGACTTTTATGATATGCTTGTTGGAGAAGCAGTGGAACTATTCTTGTTTCCCCCACACAAAGGGCCCTAGGACCCACCCAAGGGTGGCTCCATCCAGCAAGCTCATGGCCAGGTACTAAGCCACATTCAAATGACTTCTCACGACATGTGCTTACCTGGCAGACCTGTATGTATTTATATCACAAAATGAATCAAATCTTTACACAGTTGAGCAGGTAGTTTTAGAGAACCCATCAAAATATCCAGTTTTCATAAATACAATCATCATCACAGTCACTGGCATCATCATTACTACTGATATCATCATCATCATCAGCAACTTTGGCATCCCCGTCATCATCAGAAACATCATCATCATCAACTTTGGCATCCCCGTCATCATCAGAAACATCATCATCATCAACTTTGGCATCCCCGTCATCATCAGAAACATCATCATCATCAGCAACGTTGATAACAACATGATCAACATAATTGGCATCATCAACTTCATTGCCATTAGGAGTACAACATTACCATCATCATCAACTTCATCACCATTAGGAGTACAACATTACCATCATCATCAACTTCATCACCATTAGGAGTACAACATTACCATCATCATAAGCTTCATTGCCATTAGGAGTACAACATTACCATCATCATCAGCTTCATTGCCATTAGGAGTACAACATTACCATCATCATCAGCTTCATTGCCATTAGGAGTACAACATTACCATCATCATCAACTTCATCACCATTAGGAGTACAACATTACCATCATCATCAGCTTCATTGCCATTAGGAATACAACATTAACATCATCATCTTCATCACCATTAGGAGTACAACATTACCATCATCATAAGCTTCATTGCCATTAGGAGTACAACATTACCATCATCATCAACTTCATTGCCATTAGGACAACATTACCATCATCATAACATCATCATCAACTACATTACCATCATTGCCATTAGGAGTACAACATTACCATCATCATCAACTTCATTGCCATTAGGAGTACAACATTACCATCATCATCAGCTTCATTGCCATTAGGAATACAACATTAACATCATCATCTTCACCACCATTAGGAGTACAATATTACCATTGTCATCAACTTCATCACAATTGGGAGTACAACATTACCATCATCATCAACTTCATCACAATTAGTAGTACAACATTACCATCATCATTAACTTCATCACAATTAGGAGTGCAACATTACCATCATCATCAACTTCATCACAATTGGGAGTACTACATTACCATCGTCATCAACTGGCATCATAATTATCATTATTTTCATCAACATTGACATAACAAACAGATTAGTGTTTGATTTATAAAACAGGTTAGAGTGTTTGATACATAAAACATGTTAGACTATTTATACATAAAACATGTTAGACTATTTATTAAAAAAAAAAACATGTTAGCATGAGAAGCACACCTGATGCACGCAAAGTCTAGTTAACCAACATAGGACTGGTATTATTAACCACACGATGCTGATGAATATGTTGAGAGGGAAATCTGAGCACCTATGGATGTGTCCGGAGTGCTGTGAAGATAATCTAATTCATAACTCAGAGGGTTTAATACATTAAATATGTTAAATGTTTATTTATAAAATATGTTAGAGTGTTTGATAAATAAAACATGTTAAAGTGTTTGATTCATAAAACATGTTGAAGTGTTTGATACACACAGCACGTTAGAATGTTTGAAACATAAAACATCAACTACATTTGACAGGGGTTCCTGGTGGAGCAGAAGCTGACCAAACTACTTTTGCCGTTGGAGAAAGATGAGCAGTCCCTCATGAAACTGGACAATATTTTTGCTGTAAGTTATCTCTCAACAGTTATAATTGGATGATATTTTTGCTGTAAGTTATCTCTCAACAGTTATAATTGGATGATATTTTTGCTGTAAGTTATCTCTCAACAGTTATAATTGGATGATATTTTTGCTGTAAGTTTTCTCTCAACTGCTATAATTGGATGATATTTTTGCTGTAAGTTATCTCTCCACAGTTATAATTGGATGATATTTTTGCTGTAAGTTATCTCCCAACAGTTATAATCGGATGATATTTTTGCTGTGTTATCTCTCAACAATTATAAATGAATGATATTTTTGCTGTAAGTTATCTCTCCACAGTTATAATTGGATGATATTTTTGCTGTAAGTTATCTCTCCACAGTTATAATTGGATGATATTTTTGCTGTAAGTTATCTCTCCACAGTTATAAGTGGACAATATATTTTTATTGTAAGTTATCTCTACACAGTTATAATTGGACAATATATTTTTGCTGTAAGTTATCGCTCCACAGTTATAACGGACAGTATTTATTTAAGCATTTATGTCACATAAACAAATGTCACATGACCACATATGACACCAGACACAGTTATCACATGACTATATGTGACACCATGACAGTTGTCATAAGACTATAAATGACATCAGACACAAATATCACATAGCTATATATGACCCTAGAAACAATTGTCAAATGGCTATATATGACACCAGATGCAAATACCAAATGACATCAGACACAGATGTCATATGACCATATATGACATCAGGCACAAATGTCACATGACTGCATATTACACCAGACACAATTATCATGTGCTCACATATGACACCATAAACGATTGACACATGACTATAAATGACACCAGATGCAAATATCACAGGACCATACATGACACCAAAAACAAATGTTGCATGACAATATACGGCATGAGAAACAAATGTTACTTGACAGTATTAGATATCAGACACCAGTGACACATGGTCATGTACGACATTAGACACAAATGTCATTGGACCATCTATGACACCAGAATTAAATGTTATATGACCATATATGATATAAGAAACAAATATGCATATGACTATATATGACATCAGACACAAATTTCACATGACCAGATGACACATGACACATGTAAAATGACCATATATAACACCAGAACAGAGGTCACATGACTATATATGACACCAGATGCAAATACCAGATACAGATGTCATATGACCATATATGACATCAGACACAACTTTTACATGACATTATGTGACATCAATGTCATGTGGTCCTGTTTTCTGTCAGGCTCTAGGCCTGGAAACAGAAGATGACATCCACAAGATGAGCATGTACTTTATGAACATCAGAGAAAAGGTGAGCACAGGCATCAGCTTCCTCATCTCATTAACACAAGTCTCATCATCTTTTTCTTCTCTGATATTTTTCAGCCTATCTGATGTACTCATCTCAGCTGCTGTATCTTGTGCAGCTTAGCAAGATCTAATCCTATCTGACAGTTATGTCACTGTGACATGTCAGTATGCCATAACAATGTGTCACATCAGTGTGTCATATCAGTGTGACATTTCAGTATATCACATCAATGTGTCATGGTACTGTATAAAGTCAGTGTGTTATGTCAGTGTATAAAGTCAGTGTGTTATGTTAATGTGTCATTTCAGTGTGTTATGTGAATATTTCAATTGGATGTGTCATGTCAGTGTGGCATGGCAGTGTGACATGTCAGTGCATCATGTCAGTGTGGCATGTCAGTGAGTCATGTCATTGTAACATATCATGTGACATGGCATTGTGACATGTCAGTGTGTGGGTTAAGCGTGTGATTGTTGTGATGGGTTAACTCATTGTTGACGGGGTTTGTTCATTTTTGTGTTTATGTGTCTTTAGTGTGTTGTGAATAATTAAAATTCAACTATATTGTGACTGGTTGAGCCATCTTGTGACTGGTTGAGCCATCTTGTGACTGGTTGAGCCATCTTGTGACTGGTTGAGCCATCTTGTGTTTGGTTGAGCCATCTTGTGACTGGTTGAGCCATCTTGTGACTGGTTGAGCCATCTTGTGTCTGGTTGAGTCATCTTGTGACTGGTTGAGCCATCTTGTGACTGGTTGAGCCATCTTGTGACTGCTTTAATCTCCCTGAGGGGACTGGTTTATGCTTGTTTGTGCTATGATTGGTTAATCAATTTGTATATGGTGATAAGTTTGGTTGAATGTGTTTGGTTAGACTTCTGAAAGATGTGATTGGTTAACTCTTCTAATGTTGAAAATAAATTTGCTCTATTACTGGTCTTGCCTATCAAAATGAAATCAATGTTTTAACCAGATAAAAGAAAGTAAGGTAAAGAAGTGAAGTGATATACAGAAGATTAACAGTAATATAATGTGTATCATGTATCTTGTATTCTACAGAAAGAGGAGGAGACATTAGAAACAGAAGAGGTAAGTATATATCTCTATAAATCTGTCTCTCTAACCATGAGCTGACACTAGTCTGACATCTCCCTGTCTCTCTAACCATGAGCTGACACTAGTCTGAAATCTCCCTGTCTCTCTAACCATGAGCTGACACAAGTCTGACATCTCCCTGTCTCTCTAACCATGAGCTGACACTAGTCTGACATCTCCCTGTCTCTCTAACCATGAACTGACACTAGTCTGACATCTCCCTGTCTCTCTAACCATGAGCTGACACTAGTCTGACATCTCCCTGTCTCTCTAACCATGAGCTGACACAAGTCTGACATCTCCCTGTCTCTCTAACCATGAGCTGACACTAGTCTGAAATCCCTGTCTCTCTAACGATGAGCTGACACTAGTCTGACATCTCCCTGTCTCTCTAACCATGAGCTGACACTAGTCTGACATCTCCCTGTCTCTCTAACCATGAGCTGACACTAGTCTGACATCTCCCTGTCTCTCTAACCATGAACTGACACTAGTCTGACATCTCCCTGTCTCTCTAACCATGAGCTGACACTAGTCTGACATCTCCCTGTCTCTCTAACCATGAGCTGACACTAGTCTGATATCTCCCTGTCTCTCTAACCATGAACTGACACTAGTCTGACATCTCCCTGTCTCTAACCATGAACTGACACTAGTCTCACATCTCCCTGTCTCTAACCATGAGCTGACACTAGTCTGACATCTCCCTGCCTCTCTAACCATGAGCTGACACTAGTCTGACATCTCCCTGTCTCTAACCATGAGCTGACACAAGTCTGACATCTCCCTGTCTCTAACCATGAGCTGACACTAGTCTGACATCCCCCTGTCTCTCTAACCATGAGCTGACACTAGTCTGACATCTCCCTGTCTCTAACCATGAGCTGACACTAGTCTGACATCTCCCTGTCTCTCTAACCATGAGCTGGCACTAGTCTCACATCTCCCTGTCTCTCTAACCATGAGCTGACACTAGTCTGACATCTCCCTGTCTCTCTAACCATGAGCTGACACTAGTCTGACATCTCCCTGTCTCTAACCATGAACTGACACTAGTATCACGTCTCCCTGTCTCTAACCATGAGCTGATATTAGTCTCACATCTCCCTGTCTTTAACCATGAGCCAACTTGACTAATCTCCTTGTGTACAATTTCATAAACTTACACCAGACTCTAATCTCCCTAACCCCCATCCCAAAACACTAGACTCTAATCTCCCTGTCTCCCATCCCATAAGCTGACCTCTATATCCTCATGCCAGGAAGACATCCCAGATGAAGGCACAGACGAGGAGCTAGAGAAGATTGTCCAGGACAAACAATCCATACAGAATGAAGCCGTGGAGCTGATCCACCCAAACCAGGTCCTCAAGGCACTCAAGGCTTTTGTCGAGGACAGTAGGTGTGTGTGTGTGTAATACAGCACTGGGTGTGGGTCTAGTGTGGCAACATTGGGGGTGGTGTAGAATGGCAACATGTGGGTGTGGGTGTGTGTATCTGGCAACATGGGTTTGGGCCTAGAATGGCAACATTGGGGGTGGGCCTAGAATGGCAACATTAGGTGTAAAGCAATAATAGCACAACATATAATGTTGGATTGGGAGTAAAGCTAGAATAGCACAATGTATAATGTTGGATTGAGAGTAAAGCAATAATAGCACAATGTATAATGTAAAGGATATCTGAGTAATATGCAATAATAGCACAATGTATAATGTTAGATTGGGAGTAAAGCAATAATAGCACAAACCACTAATGCTTTTGTGTTTTTTTTCTCTTGATATTCATAATATGCACAATGTCATAAAATATAATTGGGAGTGAAGCAATAATAGCTGCAGTGAGAAAGACAGTTGGATTGGGAAGTGCCGAAATAAGAGGGGCAATGTATGGCAAATTTGGACCCTTTGAAAATAAAGTTCATAGCATTCGTGTCTAACCATGTTGACACGACTCAAATCCCCCTAGCACAACCATGATGTGATATTGAGTCTAACATCTCCCTAGCACAACTATAATGTTGGAGCTGACACAAGTCTGACATCTCCCTGTCTCTAACCATGTATGACATGTAGTCTGGACATCTCCCTGTCTCTAACAATGAATAGACACTAGTCTACATCTTGGATTGTCTCTACCATGAGCTAGATAGCACAATCTATAATCTTGTCTCTAGAGTAAAACAATAATAGTCACACATCTCCCTGTCTCTTGACCATGAAAGCAATAATCTCACAACTCCCTGTCTTTAATCTTGAGAGTACTTGACTAATCTCCAATGTACACAACGTATAATGTTGGATTGAGAGTCTCCCTAACCTCCATAGCATAACAATAGTCTAATCTTCCTGTCTCTAAAGCAATAATAGCTGACCTCTATATCCTCATAGATTGGGAGTAAATCCCAGATAATAGCACAGAGTAGGAGCTAGAGAAGATTGTGAGAGTAAAGCAATCCATACAGAATGATAATGTTGGAGCTGGGATCCACCCAAAATAGGTCCTCAATGCACTCAAGTTGCTTTGTCGAGTGACAGCAGGATAGCACAATGTATAATGTTGCATTGGGGGTGGGCCTAGAATAGCAACATTAGGTGTAAAGCAATAATAGCACAATGTATAATGTTGGATTGGGAGTTAAGCAATAATAGCACAATGTATAATGTTGGATTGGGAGTAAAGCTAGAATAGCACAATGTATAATGTTGGATTTGGAGTAAAGCTATAATAGCACAATGTATAATGTTGGATTGGGAGTAAAGCAATAATAGCACAATATATAATGTTGGACTGGGAGTAGTTAAGCAAGATTAGCACAATATATAATGTTGGATTGGGAGTGAAGCAAGAATAGCACAATGTATAATGTTGGATTGAGAGTAAAGCTAGAATAGCACAATCTATAATGTTGGATTGAGAGTAAAGCAATAATAGCACAATGTATAATGTTGGATTGAGAGTAAAGCAATAATAGCACAATGTATAATGTTGGATTGGGAATAAAGCTAGAATAGCACAATCTATAATGTTGGATTGGGAGTGAAGCTAGAATAGCACAATGTATAATGTTGGATTGAGAGTAAAGCAATAACAGCACAATGTATAATGTTGAACTGGGAGTGAAGCTAGAATCGCACAATGTATAATGTTGGATTTGGAGTGAAGCTAGAATAGCACATTGTATAATGTTGGATTTGGAGTGAAGCTAGAATAGCACAATGTATAATGTTGGACTGGGAGTAGTTAAGCAAGATTAGCACAATGTATAATGTTGGATTGGGAGTGAAGCTAGAATAGCACAATGTATAATGTTGGATTGAGAGTGAAGCTAGAATAGCACAATGTATAATGTTGGATTGGGAGTAAAGCAATAATAGCACAATGTATAATGTTATGGACTGGGAGTAGTTAAGCAAGATTAGCACAATGTATAATGTTGGATTGGGAGTAAAGCAACAATAGCACAATGTATAATGTTGGATTGGGAGTAAAGCAATAATAGCACAATGTATAATGTTGGATTGGGAGTAAAGAGCCAAATGAAATGTTGATTATGAGGTCATAACCAGACAAGAAATCCAATGACAGAAGACCTTTTATACAAACAGATGTATGCTAGAGATCGTTTTGGTAGACACAAGCTGGATAAAGTATGGATGGGAGGTTTCTGTGCCACTTGCCATGATGTTACCCAAGTCAGTGACAGTACTGTGCCTGTGTCAGTGTCAGCACTGGGCCTGTGTCATTAGGCCTGGCATTTTGACAGGAACCATTGCTTTCAAATGAGGCCCTACACCAGCAGAAGTGTTTGCTACAGAGATCAGAGACCTAACATCTTTATATTAGAGCGAAATACAAGAGGTGATGTGCGCTACAGTTTGTACCAGTTAAAACACTGGTAGTAGATTGAGATTCTCAATGAGTAGGTCAAAGGTTAGTCAACAGGATCGATGTCATTACACCAGGTTTTGTCAATATGGCTCAGTCTCCCTCTGCAGAACAGCTAGCGACCTGCCTAGAGCATTGCACAATGCACGAACCCCATAGCTTCCATGATCTCCAGGGATCTCCATAAAAAGTGACTTGTACAGCCATGAAACAAACTCACAAATTCAGAGCGTGAGGCAAATAACTTGACCATTTCAACAAGAAATTATGAGTAGGCGATAAGGCTGCCCATCTGCCACACAGTTGTGAGAGTCTCCTTGTTTCTAGGCACTACAGCAGGCAATCATAAGTATTTCTTGTACTTCTCTCTGCTGTAGTTGAGATACAGGTGGTACTATTTGTCTCATCATCATCATCATCATGAGCATCACCACCACCATTATAATGTTTGTTTCTGTTCAGTCGGGATGCAGGAGAGCAGACGGCATTCCACATAAGTGGTCTGGAGGAACGAGACAACTTCCTGGACCAGGCTTACTGGCAGAAATACACCACTGTCCTTGACCCCAGGAAGCAGATGCTGTGGGACTCACTCCTTCAGGCACTGGATAAATATCAGTACGTTGTTATCATAAATATCAGTATGTTGTTATCATAAATATAAGTAAGTTGTTATCATAAATGTCGGTACGTTGTTATTATAATAGTCAGAATGTTGTTATCATAAATATCAGTATGTTGTTATCATAAATATCTGTACGTTGTTATCATAAATATCAGTACATTGTTATAAAAAATATCGGTGGGTGTGTTGTTATCATTAATATCAGTACATTATTATCATAAATATCAGTACATTGTTTTCATAAATATCAGTATGCTGTTATCATAAATATCAGTATGTTGTTATCATAAATATCAGTACATTGTTATCATAAATATGAGTACGTTGTTATCATAAATATCAGTACATTGTTATCATAAATATCAGTACATTGTTATCATAAATATCAGTATGCTGTTATCATAAATATCAGTATGTTGTTATCATAATAGTCAGTATGTTGTTATCATAATAGTCCGTATGTTGTTATCATAATAGTCAGTACACTGTTATCTCACCGTTTACCACAAAGTACACATTTACGGCAGGATTAAACTTCCTGTTGGCTTCATGTCTCTTACTCATCCTTTCAACTCAGCCAGTCAACCCAGTGTCCCCACTTCTTCCCTGGCAATGTCCTAGACAATGTCCCCTATTTTCTTCCCTGGCAATGTCCTAGACAGTGTCCCCACTTCTGTCCCTGGCAATGTCCTAGACAGTGTCCCCACTTCTGTCCCTGGCAATGTCCTAGACAGTGTCCCCACTTCTGTCCCTGGCAATGTCCTACACAGTGTCCCCAATTTTGTCCCTGGCAATGTTTCACACAGTATGTGATTTCTATCCCCAGCAATGTCCTCCACAGCCGAGCTACTTTGCTACCAGAGGTTGAAGGACTCAAACTGCAGAATACAGAACTCAGGCTCCTACTGCACCAATATGTCAACTCCAAGGTCAGCTTGTGTCAATGGGCCACATGATCATCATTATCAGTCTCTGTAACTCATACACTGAAACTCATTGACGGCCCCTCATGGACTGTCACTCATGGACTGTCACTCATAGACTGTCACTCATAGACTGTCACTCGTGGACTGTCTTTCATGGACTGGACTGTCACTCAAGGACTGTCTCTCATGGACTGTCTCCCATGGACTGTCTCCCATGGACTGTCTCTAATGGACTGTCTCTCATAGACTGTCTCTCATAGACTGTCTCTCATAGACTGTATCTCATAGACTGTATCTCATAGACTGTATCTCATAGACTGTATCTCATAGACTGTCACTCATGGACTGTATCTCATGGACTGTATCTCATAGACTGTATCTCATGGACTGTATCTCATAGACTGTATCTCATAGACTGTATCTCATAGACTGTATCTCATAGACTGTATCTCATGGACTGTCTCTAATGGACTGTCTCTCATAGACTGTATCTCATAGACTGTATCTCATAGACTGTATCTCATAGACTGTCACTCATGGACTGTATCTCATAGACTGTCACTCATGGACTGTATCTCATGGACTGTATCTCATGGACTGTCACTCATGGACTGTATCTCATGGACTGTCACTCATGGACTGTCACTAATGGACTGTATCTCATGGACTGTCACTCATGGACTGTGACTCATGGACTGTCACTCATGGACTGTCACTCATAGACTGTCACTCATGAACTGTCACTCATGGACTGTCACTCATAGACTGTATCTCATGGACTGTCACTCATGGACTGTCACTCATAGACTGTATCTCATGGACTGTCACTCATGGACTGTCACTCATGGACTGTCACTCATGGACTGTCACTCATGGACTGTCACTCTCTGTATCTCATGGACTGTCACTCTCATGGACTGTATCTCATGGACACTCATGGACTGTATCTCATGGACTGTATGGACTGTCACTCATGGACTGTCACTCATGGACTGTCACTCATGGACTGTCACTCATGGACTGTCACTCATGGACTGTCACTCATGAACTGTCACTCATGGACTGTCACTCATGGACTGTCACTCATGGACTGTATCTCATGGACTGTCACTCATGGACTGTATCTCATGGACTGTCACTCATGGACTGTATCTCATGGACTGTATCTCATGGACTGTATCTCATGGACTGTATCTCATGGACTGTATCTCATGGACTGTCACTCATGGACTGTCACTCATGGACTGTATCTCATGGACTGTATCTCATAGACTGTCACTTATGGACTGGCACTCATGGACTGTCAATCATGGACTGTCTCTCATGGACTGTCACTCATGGACTGTCTCTCATGGACTGTCTCTCATGGACTGTCACTCATGGACTGTCTCTCATGGACTGTCACTCATGGACTGTCACTCATGGACTGTCACTCATGAACTGTCATCATGAACTGTCACTCATGATTATGGAACTGTATGTGTCACTGGATGGGACTGTCACTCATGGGACTGTCACTCATGACTTGTCATGAACTCATCATGGACTGTCACTCATGGTACTCATGTGTCACTCATGGGCTGTCTCTCATGGACTTTCTCTCATGGAATGTATCTCATAGACTGTCACTTATGGACTGTCACTCATGGACTGTCACTCATGGACTGTCAATCATGGACTGTCACTCATGGACTGTCACTCATGGACTGTCACTCATGGACTGCATCTCATGGACTATATCTCATGGATTGTCACTCATGGACTGTCACTCATGGACTGTCACTCATGGACTGTCACTCATGGACTGTCACTCATGAACTGTCACTCATGAACTGTCACTCATGGAATGTCAATCATGGAATGTCAATCAAACACTGTCTGTTAATTATTGATTGTCTGTCACTCCTGGACTGTCTGTCACTCATAGACTGTCAGTCATGGCTTGTCTCTCATTCATGGACACTCACTCATGCACTGTCACCGCCTCTTCCCTAACAAGTCTCTACTAACAAGTGAGTTCCCTCATCTCCCCTAACAAGTGAGTTCCCTCATCTCTGCTAACAAGTGAGTTCCCTCATCTCCCCTAACAAGTGAGTTCCCTCATCTCCCTTAACAAGTAAGTTTCCTCATCTAACAAGTGAGTCCCCTCATCTCCACTAACAAGTGAGTCCCCTCATCTCCACCAACAAGTGAGTCTCCTCATCTCCACTAACAAGTGAGTCCCCTCATCTCTACAGGTCAACAATGAGCTGGAGGTTCCCCCAACTAGGGTTCTACAGCTGGAGCTAAACCAGCCGTGAACAGCCACAGCTGAACCAGTTGTCAACAGCTACAGCTGAACCAGTTGCGAACAGCTACAAGTGAACCAGTCATGAACAGCTATAGCTGAACCAGTTGTGAACAGCTACATTTGAACCAGAACTGAACAATCTGAGAGAGACAGATTTTTTTTATTGTTTGGTAAAATTAAAAATTATATAATGAATTTATGTATGGTGGGATGAATTTGTATGTGGAATAATAGACTTGTTTCTGATTTGATAGATTTACATGTAGAATAATACATTCATACATGAAGCAATAGATTTGTATACCCAGTGATAGATTTATACGTGATGGGAAAGAATTGTATGTGGAATCTTATGTTTATATATGGTGTGATACATCTATATGTTTAGTGATATATTTATGTGTGGCGTGATAAAATTGTGTGGAAATGATAGATTTGGGTTGCATGTGGAATTATAGATTAATGTATGGTGATAGATTTGTGTGGAGAATGATAGATTTGTGTTGTGTGGAATGATAGATGTATGTATGGTGTATCAGGTTTGTATGTGGAATGATAGATCTATGTGTGGTGTGACAGGTTCGTGAGATAAAAGATACATAGTTTGACATATTTGTAAGTCATGTGATAGATTCATGTATGGTGTGACAGGTTTGTGTGTGGAATGATAGATTCATGTATTGTGTGATTGGTTTGTGTGTGGAATGATAGATTCATGTATTGTGTGATAGGTTTGTGTGTGGAATGTTAGATCTATGTATGGTGTGATAGGTTTGTGTGTGAAATGATAGATTCATGTATTGTGTGATGGGTTTGTGTGTGAAATGATAGATCTATGTATGGTGTGATAGGTTTGTGTGTGAAATGATAGATTCATGTATTGTGTGATGGGTTTGTGTGTGAAATGATAGATCTATGTATGGTGTGATAGGTTTGTGTGTGGAATGATAGATCTATGTATGGTGTGATAGGTTTGTGTGTGAAATGATAGATTCATGTATTGTGTGATGGGTTTGTGTGTGAAATGATAGATTCATGTATTGTGTGATGGGTTTGTGTGTGAAATGATAGATCTATGTATGGTGTGATAGGTTTGTGTGTGGAATGATAGATCTATGTATGGTGTGATAGGTTTGTGTGTGAAATGATAGATTCAAGTATTGTGTGATGGGTTTGTGTGTGAAATGATAGATTCATGTATTGTGTGATGGGTTTGTGTGTGAAATGATATATCTATGTATGGTGTGATAGGTTTGTGTGTGAAATGATAGATCTATGTATGGTGTGATAGGTTTGTGTGTGAAATGATAGATTCATGTATTGTGTGATAGGTTTGTGTGTGGAATGATAGATTCATGTAAGGTGTGATAGGTTTGTGTGTGAAATGATAGATTCATGTATGGTGTGATAGGTTTGTGTGTGAAATGATAGATCTATGTATGGTGTGATAGGTTTGTGTGTGGAATGATAGATTCATGTATGGTGTGATAGGTTTGTGTGTGGAATGATAGATTCATGTATGGTGTGATAGGTTTGTGTGTGAAATGATAGATTCATGTATGGTGTGATAGGTTTGTGTGTGGAATGATAGATCTATGTGTGGTGTGATAGGTTTGTGTGTGGAATGATAGATCTATGTATGGTGGATAGGTTTGTGTGTGGAATGATAGATCTATGTATGGTGTGATAGGTTTGTGTGTGAAATGATAGATTCATGTATTGTGTGATGGGTTTGTGTGTGAAATGATAGATTCATGTATTGTGTGATGGGTTTGTGTGTGAAATGATAGATCTATGTATGGTGTGATAGGTTTGTGTGTGAAATGATAGATCTATGTATGGTGTGATAGGTTTGTGTGAAATGATAGATTCATGTATTGTGTGATTGGTTTGTGTGTGGAATGATAGATTCATGTATGGTGTGATAGGTTTGTGTGTGAAATGATAGATTCATGTATGGTGTGATAGGTTTGAGTGTGAAATGATAGATCTATGTATGGTGTGATAGGTTTGTGTGTGGAATGATAGATCTATGTATGGTGTAATAGGTTTGTGTGTGAAATGATAGATTCATGTATGGTGTGATAGGTTTGTGTGTGGAATGATAGATCTATGTGTGGTGTGATAGGTTTGTGTGTGGAATGATAGATCTATGTATGGTGTGATAGGTTTGTGTGTGGAATGATAGATCTATGTATGGTTGTGATAGGTTTGTGGTGTGATAGAAATGTGTAGATTCATGTATGGTGTGATAGGTTTGTGTGTGTGAATGATAGATTCATGTATGGTGTGATAGGTTTGTGTGTGAAATGATAGATCATGTATGGTGTGATAGGTTTTTTTTGTGTGTGGAATTGATAATCTATGTGTGGTGTGATAGGTTTGTGGTGTGAATGATAGATCTTGTATGGTGTGATAGGGTTTGTGTGTGAAATGATAGATCTATTGTATGGTGTGATAGTTTGTGTGTGAAAAATAGATTCATGTATTGTGTGATGGGTTTTTGTGTGAAATGATAGATTCATGTATTGTGTGAATGGTTTTGTGTGTGAAATGATAGATCTATGGTAATGGTGTGATAGGTTTGTGTGTGAAATGATAGATCTATGTATGGTGTGATAGGTTTGTGTGTGAAATGATAGATTCATGTATTGTGTGATTGGTTTGTGTGTGGAATGATAGATTCATGTATGGTGTGATAGGTTTGTGTGTGAAATGATAGATTCATGTATGGTGTGATAGGTTTGTGTGTGAAATGATAGATCTATGTATGGTGTGATAGGTTTGTGTGTGGAATGATAGATCTATGTATGGTGTGATAGGTTTGTGTGTGAAATGATAGATCTATGTATGGTGTGATAGGTTTGTGTGTAAAATGATAGATTCATGTATGGTGTGATAGGTTTGTGTGTGGAATGATAGATTCATGTATGGTGTGATAGGTTTGTGTGTGAAATGATAGATCTATGTATGGTGTGACAGGTTTGTGTGTGGAATGATAGATCTATGTATGGTGTGATAGGTTTGTGTGTGGAATGATAGATCTATGTGTGGTGTGACTTCTATAGTAGAATCAGAGAATCTATGGTTTAAGTTTCCTCAAAACAACAGTGCTAATTTTGTGGAAGGTAATGTTGCTATCATGTTGGAGACATGACCCAAGTGGGTGTGTCGCAAGAGAGTGTCAAGAATTTAACGGTGCAAAACATATCTGGCCAAGAGAGACTTCTTGTGAGAATAAAGGCTTCTGTCCTCCTGTGATGCTGGCTCTCACATGGAGCTCCTTCTACCTGTGATGCTGGCTCCCACATGGAGCTCCTTCTACCTGTGATGCTGGCTCCCACATGGAGCTCCTTCTACCTGTGATGCTGGCTTCCACATGGAGCTCCTTCTACCTGTGATGCTGGCTTCCACATGGAGCTCCTTCTACCTGTGATGCTGGCTTCCACATGGAGCTCCTTCTACCTGTGATGCTGGCTCCCACATGGAGCTCCTTCTACCTGTGATGCTGGCTCCCACATGGAGCTCCTTCTACCTGTGATGCTGGCTCCCACATGGAGCTCCTTCTACCTGTGATGCTGGCTCCCACATGGAGCTCCTTCTACCTGTGATGCTGGCTCCTACATGGAGCCCCTTCTACCAGTGTTGGCTGACGACTGTGTTGTAATATATAAAGTATGTGTAAGTAGTTGCAGTGTGACATTGATGATAATCTTACTGATGTCATAATTAATGATTAAATGTGCTTCCTGATAATCTCACAGTTTCAGTTCCATGTTCATACTGTCATCAGTATAATATTCAGTAATATTTCAGTAAGTTTAAGTAGTATTTCAGTAATATTTAATACTATTTTCAGCAGTGGTTCAATGATATTTCAGTAAAGTTTCAATAATATTTCAGTAATGTTTCAGTTATATTTCAGTAATAATGATTAAACTGTATCAAAAGTCATTTTGTTGAAACCTAAATGGAAAAATAATTTGTTTGTTTCTACAAACAAAACAAAAAATGTCTTGAGTCTTTATTTATCAAAATATGTAATCCTTTCTTGGGTAGAGAGAAAGAGTTAATTGTCAATTTGCCATTACCCTGGTCAGTCACGTAACTATCATGAACTTGCCGGCCATCTGACAACGATGGATTGGAAGAGATCATTTTGCATTTCCATTGTGCGTCATTATATATCAATAGAACTGCAGTAATAAACCTGATGAGATGATCAAGCAATAAATTGTGCAATGTATTGTTTATATCATGTATGATTTAAATATCTCTTCGTTGAACCATGTGTTTATTATTTCTCTCTCAGCGGATTTCTGTGATGTAGCAGTTTTATGTTCCTCTCCCAGCGGATTTCTCGTGATCAGAGCATAAGACCTCGTTTAACAGAAATACTCACAGTATGTCTCCCAACAGAAATGTTCACAATATCTCTCCCAACAGAAATGCTCATTAAATCTCACAGAAGTGTTTACAAAATCTCCCCAAGCAGAAATGTCACACAATCACCCCAGCAGGAATGTCACACAATCATCCCTGAAGAAATGTCACACTATCCTCCTAGCAGAAATGTCACACAATCATCCCAGCAGAAATGTCACACAATCCTCCTAGCAGAAATGTCACACAATCCTCCCAGCAGAAATGTCACACAATCCTCCTAGCAGAAATGTCACACAATCCTCCCAGCAGAAATGTCACACAATCCTCCCAGCAGAAAAATCACACAATCCTCCCAGCAGAAAAATCACACAATCCTCCCAGCAGAAATATCACACAATCCTCCCAGCAGAAATGTCACACAATCCTCCCAGCAGAAATGTCACACAGTCCTCCCAGCAGAAATGTCACACAGTCCTCCCAGCAGAAATGTCACACGATCCTCCCAGCAGAAATGTCACACGATCCTCCCAGCAGAAATGTCACACGATCCTCCCAGCAGAAATGTCACACAATCCTCCCAGCAGTGCAATGGTTAGCTTACATGCCAGCAACAAAAGTCGTGTG